GCTATTAAACTGGGTCGATGTTTAATATTTACTTCTAATGAATATATTTAATAGACATTTGATGTTATGCAGTGTGATAGAATGTCGATCAAATAGTGCAGTTATCTTAAACTGGTTTGGTCCAAGGGCTAACTGTGTCGCCTGTCTTTCTATTAATAAAGGTTTCTACTTCTTCCTGTTTCATTATGAATGCTGTTCTAAGGTTTACTGTAGGTACCTAGTATTTATCTGTATATTATTAAATTGTACGATGCCAAACTAAACCTTAAAATCTCTTTTTAGTATTATCATTCTCAAATTTTTCTATATCAAGATGCTGATACTAATTACCTATATAGTCTTTTTTTACCAAAATTATGTCATTCTTTACCATTTTCGATACCATCAACATCAGCCCGTTTTCACCACAAAAGTTAATATAACGAGAACGTCATAGTGGCCGCTTAAAGAACGTCCACTGATCCATGTTCCCCTAGTGCATAATTTGTCACCTCGAATACGAATTTTAGTTACAAAACATGTATTTGAACTATTATACCACAATGACCTGCTTTCTACGAAAACTGCAGTACGATTATAAACGTATTTGCTATCTGTTTCCGACAGTGATTAATACGTATATTTTAGTGTTTGGTAATTTCATCGTATCATAGGGGTTAATGAATAAAGTACAGACAGAAGACAGTTAATGATGTCAGAAGTTCCACTACAAAACATGCTTATCATGCTGATTACTCTAACCATCTGTTTGTTGTAAAATCATTGAAGTGTTCTATTTTATATCTGCCACGACCGTCATCATCATCAATCATTATACTCTTTATCTCAATCTTCTTTATAAACAATCAAAATTCCGTTCGGACAGCTACTTTCGATATGAGTATGCTATGACTGACAACCTATGAATGAGACGAGGCTCGGGCCAAAATAATATTAAATTACATTTTGCATAATGAATCATAGAATCTGAATTTGTAACTAAAAATATTTACTAGTTTTTGCCTATGAATAAGACGATGCTTACGGTACATTTATGTGGAAAAAAAATATTTATTACGTTAAAAATACAAGGTATATATATGACTGCCTCGATGGCCGAGTGGTCGCAAGTGCGACTGCCGGGCAAGGGGTCTCGGGTTCGATTCCCGGGTCGGGCAAAGTATTACTGGGTTTTTAATAAAAAAATCTCAGTAGTAGCACGGAGTCTGGAAATATGTAAGGCATATGGCAATATGCTCGCCCCTAGACTCATAACATAAATAGTGAAAAGTGGGTGTTACTTCTATGTGCACCTCTGCCTACCCCTTTGGGGATAAAAGGCGTGATTTATGTTATGTTATGTATGTATATGTATAAATAACTCCTAAATTATACGTAAAAATTAAATAATACTCAAATACAATTTATCAACAAAATAGTTCACCGATCAAAGTATTGACCGGAAGATTTGAAAAATGCATTTAAACTTCTAAAGTCACCAAAGAAAGAAGTCAGTACAAAAAATGAGGCCACTTTTTGCACTTCTAACCGGATTGCGAGAATCAGTTCTTTCCGGTGCATTGAGGATCTATAAATCTGTCATGGTAGGTACATTCAAGAAGTATAAACTTTGCTTTTATTATTATTTAAGACCAGAAAAAAAGTTTTGTAATGTCCGGAAATTGAGGCCGGTTTAAAGACAGGCAACACATCTGTAATCAGTTTGTGGACGAAATTAATCGCGCTTACCATCAATAGTGATCTTCCCCTTCTACTCCTTTGCCCCTATCCCATTATAGATACGTCCTCATATTACTATATGAATATACAATAGTGTGATAGGATATAGGATTTTTTTAATGGGGGAAATTTATCGAATACTAACTCTTCACGTCTGGGTGAGGCGGCAGGGATTATTAGACTCTTACTGACTAAAAGCCACGCCGTTCCAGGCGGCTCCAGGATATAGGGTAGAATCTTCATTACAAAGTAGTTGAAACATCTGCAAGGAGGTATTAACTCTTTTAGGCATATTTTCAATAATAATATAGTTGTATTCTCTACAAGTTTTACCATCATTACTTACTATGATTTCCTATAAGTTCAAAAGCTTTCATTGAAAATTACTATCACCCATTATAATTCATGATATTACTGATAACATAATTATACCATAAAAGTTCAAATACTACTATAGACAGGAAAAATAACCTTAAAATCACATAACGAAATTGCGGTTAAAGCAATCTAATAACCGCTCAGTACATTACCGATTACCGCCAAAACCAAACCACCTCGTTACTCCATAAAACAACAAAAACATAGACATATCACCACCGTCACTAATTTTATATAAGAAGTTACATCGGTATTACCTTTCGAAAGCCTTTCTAAGCCAATCGGATCCTCTCATTATGACGCAACTGGATGCGTGGGACCAAGGAACTGATCCAAACGTGTACCAAGTACCTGATACCTGATTGCTTAGGAACTACATTCTCTTTGTTCCTGCTTCCTTGAGTTGTTGTTTTGCAAAGTCATGTGTGATTCAGTCTTTTGTGATTTTTTTATTATGTTCGTGTATCTTACGTTCGTTTCCTATATCATAGATACATATAAAGAAGTTTGCAATAAAAATAATGAATCATAAGCAATCATTTTATTTAAAGGTAAAATAGACTCTGAATGGGTAGGTATATCGGGCATTGATCCAAATTCAAAATCACAAAACAATCAACCAATGTTCTCTTTCAGTCTTAACTAAACTTCAGTAAAGAATCGCGTGCAATAAACATTAAACAACCACATTACTCAACCAACAACACTCTTAAATTAATTAAGCAATTGAAACAAGACCAAAAATTACATTTTTGAATGCTTTTTAATTAGTCAAAATGACTTTTTGTTTTTTAAATTAATTGTTCGATGTGCGTCGAAATGAGAGCGTCAGTTATGTCGGCCGAGCAAAGCGAGTTTGGATCTCGTTGTCGTCTTTTTTTACAAGACTGACTTTTACTATCTCTATCGGCGACCGTTACGACCGGCGAGATTTACATCATTTTTTATACTAAATTACATTACATTATATAACATATACAATAATGAGTACCTTTATTGCGTGAATGGCAAAAAATATACTTAATAACCATCTTGTTATTACCTTTTCGTTTAGTGATTGTGGTTTTCTGTAGCACTGCTGCTAATTGCTCTTTTGGAGCGATTTTTGCTGTACAGATTGTGTTCATTTTCCTCTTTGTTTTTCATGATTCCACCTGCAAGGAAAATATAAGGGCGAGATACAAGTGACAATTTTTATGGGGTTAAAAAGGTTTTTGCCAATGCAAATACTTAGTCCTTAAAGCCAATATATCAATGAAACATTAATTATCTTATTGTTTTGAATATTAAGTTCTCAAAAAGAAAGAACCATGACAAAACTGAATGACATCATTTACGTAACAACATACGAATTCCTTGAATTCTTTCATATCATAATCTATGTTAATTTTATTCGTCGCTAGCGTCATACCATGAGACAATTTCTATCATAAAATATAACTTTCCCGTGTTTTGTCTATATTGATTGCCATTATGAGTTTATTAAACTTTGCCCCCATGATTTCAAATGCATAAGTGATACGATGACGTTCTGCAAGTAAAATTATAAAACTTGTGTTGACCAAAATGAATTTTAGTTTTCCAAAAAAATTAAGTTAAATCGCTATCTTATTGCTAGAATCTACTGCGTCTGTAACGCTTAAAATTTATCCATCGATAGTTTAACTTCTAATAAATAAATGTTAGACTGCATTTCTACACCTTTTTATATTGATGACGGGGAGAAACATTCAAAAGGTGCTTAGGCTTTTAGGGAGAAAACGACTATAGGATATTTACCTCACTAAACCTACCCCGGTGGCCACCCTCTGCATCTGTAGGGAACACCGGATCATCTAATAGACCTACCCCGGAGCCCCCAGTATTGGTACACCTGATGACTATTTATTACTACTTATAAAATGTCTGCCTCGTTGGCCGAGTGGTTGCAAGTGCGACTGCCGGACAAGGGGTCTTGGGTTCGATTCCCGGGTCGGGCAAAGTATTACTGGGTTTTTTCAAAATTCTCAGTAGTAGCACGGAGTCTGGAATTGTGCCCGGTATATGGCAGTAGACTCAACCCCTATTACATGGGACTAATAACATAAATAGTGAAAAGTAGGTGTTATATTGTACAGTGGTATAATGTGCACCTCTGCCTACCCCTTCGGGGATAAAAGGCGTGATGTTATGTTATGTTATAAAATGTGACTTACCAAACATCTTTCTTCCGAACCTTTTTTCTAATAATCTTAACTATTCTTCCCCCTAATGAGATTATCAACTTTTTTCTTTTTGTTGTTACATATCGATTGCATTACGTTATAAAATAAAGATAAAAATCGTCACTGTGTAATTGTACATGATACTTGAGATAAAATTCTGCCATTACGATTATACAACAACTGGTCCGAGCCGTTACGATTGAATATCACCATCTTTGGCATCTTTGTCGAATGGAGTGCAGATAAAACATAAGGTTGAAACTGGTTTAGAGATTAATTTTAAAGTTGAACTGACTTGATGTAATGCTTTCTTATCAACAAATTGGTCGAGTTTAAGAGAGAAATAGAATTATTTGATTAAGTCATCAATATTGATAAATTACTGTTACTATGTAATAGAAATATTTTACATTGAATGTGATTTAATAACAATGTTTTAGTGACTTTGTCGCCATTATTGATTTTGAATTTGAAACGAAGTTGCAAATTACCCATAATATGTTGTACGGAATCCTAAACAAACATTGAAGAATCCACATTCGCAGAGAGAGTAAAGGCATAGCAACAAAAACAACAAAATAATTATAAACATATAACTTGCAGTGTATTCATTACAAATGATTATTTACAAGATGAGTATTAAGCATTAAAGCCAATGGACAAAGTGCGAGGAGCATCAGCAGTTTGAAGAAGAGTATTCTAGAAGAATGCTGGGCCGACGTAACCAGGGGCGACGAAGCGGGCACCAGCACCGTTCACGACTGTGGGGCCAGCCACCAAGGTCTGGAAAGAACATTTTAAACCTGAATTATTATTCTATAGTATTTACAAATCAGCAATCACTCACTGGTTTCCATCAATATCAATCGGAATCTGTTATTTTGTGTAGAAAATGGACTTCTTCAAGAAGTCATCTTGTTACTTTCTTTTCTGTTTCTTTCGATTTATAAGCAGACAATGCATTGTCTTATAATGTATATTTATTCTGAAAATTAGTTGGTTGGCAGATTAAAGAATAATCCCTCCGTTAGGTATTACTTATTTCTTCTTAGAAAATTAAACATGTTTGTAAAGTTTTACTCACCCTAGCAGCGGGAGCGAATCCAGCGTAGGTAGGGTAAGCTGCGAAGAATTGAGGTGCAGCGGCAGCCAGGGCCACACAGACAACGAGGAAGACAAGCTGTAAAAGTGGTGGAAAAATTTTATGTTGTTGTTTTTTTTTAAATTAGCACGTTAATAATTATATTTTTTGTATAAATACTCTTAATCGAAAAGAACATATTATATTCCCATAATCGTTATGAAACTTACGAGGTATTTCATTTTGATGGCAGTGTTGGTAGATCTCACTAGAACTGCTGCTGAGCCTTCTAAGTGCAAACTATACCGGCTTACGGAAGGCAGACGCATATATAGGGCCCTTGAAGGCCATCCAGCGATGCAGGCAGCCTAACATAAGCCTAGACCCTCCTAAGGTCAGACGGCCTATCTGAATATCTAATGAAAATACCAGTTACCAGGAAAAAATATAGGTACAAAGTTAATTATTGCTGCTCTACTTATGGGCCCTAGGTATAATAATTTATTAGGACTACTTTTTCATCAAGCTGCTTCAATGAATGGGTGATTAGGTAGTTAAGAATAGCATTTGTATAGTTGAAGATAAGATTAAACTGTTCTTATCGTTAAAGTTCAATGAATGCTTATTAGAGGTAGTTTCAGGAAGTTTTCGCGCTTTTCATTGTATTTATAATTGAGAACTGTGGCAGGATTAATTCATTATTAATTTATGATGTTTTTACCGATAGGTAAGAGGTCAATTCTATAAGCTTAACTTTTATTCCACTTGTATACCCTAAGGTATTTGTGGTATATATTATTAAGTAGATTAATATGTATATGTGGAGTTAATATCTTGGTTATTAAGGACCGTGAATATGAATGAATGGGTAAGACTGAGATAGCGGGATGATCTTGACGCCTATGAAAAGGATTGGCCACAGAAAGCTTTAAGAAGAGACAAGTGGAAGGAGGGTAGGGAGGCCTTTGCCCTGCAGTGGAACGACCATGGCTGAAAATAAAATAAATAAATAATAATAACCTTAGGTACAGTTGACGTCTCACAATTTATTAACTGGCGAAAAAGGATGTTAACATACGATATTAAGTTTAATTGTACTCTTCTGACTAAATTAAGAAGGTTTAATTTTTCTTCTGCTCTATCGGAGGTGGATATTGTGCCTAATAGATACCTACATCTGAAAACTAATTTGTATACATATACCAAACGGCATGCACAAATGGAATGGTACCACATCGTAGAAATAAAAAACATAACTGGTAGTATAAGCTTGGATTTATATCATTACAATTTTCTCCATTGCGATAGTTTAGGCCTAAAACTTAATCTATGTACCTTTTAACCCTACTAACCCTAATAACCATATTATGGGACTGAGGCGTGGTAAATGAGCAGACGGATCACCTGATAGTATAAGCATTCAACGCCGCCCAGATACACCCGAAACACCAGAGGAGCTTCAACGAAAATTAAAAAAAGCATGTTCGTTTTTAAAAAACTGTCTATAATACCATTGCCTTCTGTATAAGCTAACTAGACAACAATGTAGAATTTCCTAATAATTTAGTCATTCAACAGATTTGCATACTTACTAGCATTCGTGTTGATTTATACACATAATTCACTGTTTCTGGGAAGTTACGGCTATCATTTGCATGCTCACCTGTCCACGATCAGTCCTAGTTATCAATCATGCATATTTAATCTGTAACTCGTTAGCTTACATCTTACTAATATGACAGGTAAGCAGTTCTTGTCTATATGTAAGCGCTTATTGCTTTTAACTTTTAACAGGATAGTGGATCAGTGCTCGCCAGCGTTTCGAGCTTCCGTACAAATGAAAATCCGATATGTATTTACTAACTTTATCGATATTAGAAAATTTATATCCACAATTTCTGGGAATCAAAAACTTTGTGTAAGGCTTACACACAGTTTGAACAGCTTACACTGTAAGCTATTCACACAAGAGGCACGTACTCTAACTCGTTGTAATTCTAAAATTAAATAGTAATGTTCATTAAATACTATTAAATGTGGGAGAGCCATGCTTCGGCACGAATGGGTCGGCTCGACCGGAGTGATACCACGGCCTCACAGAAAATCGACGTGAAGCAACCGGTAACCGGAGGCCCCATTACCTCTTCCCTTCTCCAATGTCCCCAATCCCTGAATCCCCAATGATCCTCAAACTCCTAATCCCCAAGCCGGTAACACACTTGTAACATCTCTGGTGTTCCAGGTGTCCATGGGTGACGCCGATTGCTTACCATCACGTGATTTGTCTAATTGTTTACCGGCTTAATGGCTATTACTACGGTACACGTAAAAACCTATACGTAGATACGAGGTACTCAGGCTTACTTTTACTTACCTCTTGTATATAGATAAATGGAATTTAACTAACAAAAAGCATCACTTGCTGCCCGGGTCCCTTTGTTAAAAGCGTGATAAGTATTTGAAGTAATAAGTATCGTACAGTTCCATTTACAAAATAATTCACTATTGTTACTCTTTGTCTGAAAATAGGATTAGATTTCAAAAAAAAACTAAAAAACAATACTGCTGAATTGATAACTTGCTCTATTTTTGGGAAGACGGTTATAAGTAGATAGGTACGGCATAGATAGATACCTATAATAGTTTCTTCTATGGGTGATATGACATTTGTTCGAAGTATGAGACAAAAGCCAAATCTATATTCTATCCTCATCATACAATCCACTGTTAAACTATAGTACTTCCCTACATAAGAAGGGCTTGTTATAATGTCTTGAAATGGAGATTTCAGTTTAATAGTTTTATCAGAGAACGCTGTGTCCCGGTCTTTATAGTATACGCATGGGTTGCTAATATTCTTTTAAGATAATTCTGATATAGGAACGAAATCATTTCACACCTTACTTGTCAATTTGTTATGCTATGTTACAACTGAGCTAGATCTGTTACCTAACTAGGCATTCGTTCTATTCATAACCTTTTGTAATTTGACTGCATCATTGGACCAGTGGCTGCAATCAGTAGTGATTACTACTGAACAAGAGATTTTGGACTCAAATGTAGGTTAAACGCAGTATTCATGATTTTTTCTTTTCTTTCCAGCTTCACTGACAGACAGACGGACAGACAATTGAATTGTCTGTCCGTCCGTTTTTAACGTTTCGAAGTGCCTAATTAAGGATTAATTGAAATAAATGCTTTGACTTTGACTTTTCGTGTAAGACGATATTGTCCACATAAACCGCGCAACATGCGCACGCTTTCGTCAATTAACGATTGTAAAACGAATAGTTGCATCTCGCGTAGATATAATCAAGACTATGTCCATAGCGTTGTATTTGAAGAAACATTCGTCTTCTATCGTCAATTTTTAAATAAGTGGAGTGGAGTAGGCCTTTGTTACAGTAGAGTTTTAAAATAGTAGTAAAACAACACAACTTCTGTAAACAATACTTTTAATTTTTGTAGATATACATGTTAAAGTAAATAGATGTAAATATACAAGACACGAATATGTTGTTTGGGCCAAAGTGTGACAAAGTGCAAGTTGCTAGGGTTCAGGGTTGAGGGGAGAGCGCCGGCTTAGAAGAATGGATATCCAGCGAAGTAGCGGGCAGGAGCTTCATTCACCACAGTAGGACCAGCAACTACAGTCTGTAAACAAAATACCAAAATAACTTTCGTTAAAGGAACAAGAACCAGGAGCGAGAACTTATCATCTATTTGCAATGCAATAGGTACAATTCGATGTCTGCTCGTTTGCCTCCTATTCCAAAAAAAAAAAACAAAATATTTAAGATTCTTTTCGAAAATAAGGTTTATTTATACGTACCCTGCTAGCGGGAGCATAACCAGCATATCCTGGCCAGGCAAAGAACTGGGGTGAAGCGGCGGCCAGGGCCACGCAGACGACCAGGAAAACCAGCTGAAAAAAATACTCTTTAGTTAAGATAGGAAGACAACAGTATCGATAAGTTATTGTGTGTTGGAAAAGGAGTGTGTGGTGTGATAATCTCCGATAAGAGAGAACGGGAGCGAATATGATTCCAAGAAAATTTGGATAAAAAATATAAGTAATAAACAGAAATTAAGGTAACATATTTTGGTCTTCTAGCAGTTCTTAAAGAAGATTTTCTCTTTTCAATAAATTCCATATAAAGAAAATCAGCTTTAACTGAACGAATGACTTCGGACCCTTAGGATTTCGAGGCGCTGGAGTCAACTCCCAGAAGCCCATTAGAAAACTATTAATAAAATGCTATAACTCACGAAATATTTCATTTTAGTGGTTTAGTTAGAACTGCTGCTGAGTGCAAACTATATCGTCCTACGGAAAGCAGACGCATTATATAGAACCTTTGAAGGTCACCTGCCAGGACAACTTTGTCACCAAGCTTTGTAAATACTTAGATAAAAGTAACTCCTGCATATTTATCAAATAATTATTATTATCGATAACTAGCCTTACCAGTTTAATCGATAGTTTACGTAGGTTGGTAGAAAATCAGTCTGTTGCCAAGTCAAAGCTGCGGAGCCGTGTCATTGGGTCGATGCTCCAATCGGTAATGTTTAATAATGAGGAAGATTTTAGGCTTTCTAACCTCTTGCGTGACATTTATTTAATTTCTCTTATTAATTCTAAAAAATTCAATATCAAAATCCTCAATACTTTCACTCGATTTGATCATACTGCCTATCTACTAAGTTATCCTAGTTTGAATCAGAGTTGCGATATCTCAATCAGAGGTAGAAATAATAAATTCATAAAACACACACTATGTATGTATGAAATTACACCTTCGTATGATCAAAGCCGGCACTTAGCAATCAACATGTTCATAAAACACATACCTACCGTAACTTCACATAAGCACCTAACCTACAGCTAAACGCATTACCCTCTTTGTTACAAAGTATGCAAATTAAATAACTGTCTATTAGAAGTCAGTTATGTCAGTAAACACTAGTATATAAGGTTATGTATATAATTATACATAACTGGATCGAAATGTAGGCGTAGCTCATAATTTAATCATTCACTGTTCACATTATACGCCTGTTATGGAAGTATTGACGCGTTTCAATTAAAACTGGCTTATTGATATGAAATGCCTATGCAATGGCAACAATAGCTTATTAATCATGTAAGAATAATGTGACAGTTGTAAGGTTAACAAGGTACATGGTAACAGCAGGGCAAAATATTTGCACCACCCCTATACTCTGTTCTCTGGGATGTCGTAAGGGACTAAGGGACTATAGATTAGGCAGAGATCAAGCAGCAGAACTCTTTAATAAACCTAAACCTTTTAAACTGTGATTTCTGGACATTGGGGCCATTAAAGTAGGAGAGCCTTACAGCCCATATTAGTCCACAGTGGAATATTTTAATAGAAAATGTTTTTTTTTTTTTCAGCAGAGACACTTAATATCCGAACTTTCCTAAATTAAGTACTTGAATTCAGATTTGACTGACTAGTACCCAAACTAGTAACATAAATTATATCAATAAGTGAAGGTTTCCATTGAAATGTAAACTTATAACATAAGTCTATTTTAAAACAATTTATGCACCATTGTTGTCTCGTTTGTCATAAAATTCCATTTTATTATCATCATAATATTATCGCTATAAAATGTAGTATTTCCATAATGTATTCAAATTATTGTTACATGGACCTAGAGATCGCTAGCATTTATAACAAGTTTTATATCTATATATTAGAATTTAGAGCAATTATCAATTTATTACAGCCTAATTATCTGTAGGTAATATTTTTGCATCAGATATTAAATTAATATTCTGCGGAATCTAGTTGCCATTTACAGATCAATAATGGATACATAAGTTATTTTGTAAACTCAGATATAAATGTAATTAATATGTAGACACCTAAACATACATATTTATATAATTTTTGAGATACCTAAGTAAGTATCTATATTATAAAATCCTTTAAAAATAATCCCTACTTGATTTAATTGATCTCAATTGTAAATCAGAGTACCAAAATACAATTACTTTTTCTGAATGAACTTACCTGCCCGCTCACTGAAATTTTAATTTTTATCAGCAAATAAGTGGTTTATCGGCGTCAAGTCGCATATGTTCATCGGGTCCCTTGACTGATTCGGTTTCAGCTGCATCAGCTCGGTACACTGCGTTTTCGATCCACACTGCGATACGGTCGGATATGGCAACCATGAACCGAGGGAGACGACCAGGGTTCGTGCGAGTTGGTTTGGGTTCACCTAGGAGAAAATACCAGTATAGAAATGGTAAAAATGTTGTTATGAATGTTAGAAATGTTGTATATTAAAAATTTAAATTTAACAATTTAATTGTGATTTAACATGATGTCTTTTTTTTGATAAGCGAACTTTTTGTTTTTTTGTTGTAATATCCTGTTCTTTTATAATGCATGTCGTGGCAGCCTTTAATTAAGGCTACACTATACAGTGTTAAAATATGATAACAAAACTATAATGTATTTTGGTGTATGCTTTGTTAGTTATCCTTAAATAAATAAATAAATAAATAAATGTAAAACGTAATGGGCACAATATGCATGGTTCATCGTGAATCACTGAATAGGGTTTTCAATTACAGAAATCTATTAGGCTATTAGGCTGTAACCGTTAATTCGAACTTAGAAGTGAAGAAGTGAGCTCGATCGCAATCTCGCCTGTCATTGGTCGCGATTATTCTCACAACCAATGATATGGCGGACCGCGATCAAATTCAGTTCGATCTTTTGAATTGAACATTATAGAATAGTCTAACTGCCTAACAGGACGACACTGTAAAACGTCCTTAACTCGTCGAGTACCGGTTTTATAGACACAATTAAAGAACAATAGGTCGCGGTCACCGGTGACCGCTTGGTGTTTGACAGTTTAAAATGATGTATTATTTTTATTACTAACTAGCTTCTGCCCGCGACTTCGTACGCGTAATCCCATTTTTTCCCATCCCCGTTCGTAAATTTCGGTAAAAAGTAAAAAAAAAATTTGGTTAAAAAGTATTCTATGTCGGTTTCCTGGCTCTAAGCTACCTCCCTACCAATTTTTAGCCAAATCTATTCTGCCGTTCTTGAGTTATAAGTGGTGTAACTAACACGACTTTCTTTTATATATATATATAGATAAGATGTATTGACCGTAAGTTATTTCACCATATCAAACTAACGTTTAACAAAGTTTTCAACTAACCATTTTTGCTTAATACTTACCGAGAATTTCAGCGACTCTTTCCAAAACCACATCGGCGATGCTTCTCAGACGGTTGGACACCAACATCTCTTTTTGGCCTTTAGCTATGTAATCACATAAACGGTACGCCACCTGAACATATAACAACTATGAATGAACTTCTTTATTAAACCCAAAAAATCATATTCATACTCGTTTTTGACTAAAACTTCATAACCACATAAACGACCAATTTTTTCCGATTTGGTGGAAACTACAGAAAACTTTTATTAGTAAATTCTAAAAGCCGATTTCAGAATTAAGGAGAGAAGGAGGGCCTTGAGAAATGTGTCTAAGAGAAGAGAGTCCTTACACATCTAGAAGAATAAATGATAGTTTGCCTAAGGTACAATGCGTTTCGCCAACTAGGTACGTAGTTGGTAGGTAATGCAATTGAGTTTTTAAATTGTATAAAATACTTATACTGAGAGGAGAACCTGGGCACTAAAGTTAACCAGCCATTTCTGCCTAAGACGCAGCTCCTTGCTTCTGTCAGCATGCTCCTTGCGGCTGACCATTCCACCCGGCCCACACCATCGTTTCGATGACTCGTAAAACGCTTGGAAGTATTGCTCAGTTTGTCTAGGCAAAGAGAAAACGAAATAAATATAATGCCATAGAACACTAGGTTAGTTGCTAGCTTCTATGATACATATATGTATCCACTAAGTAGGTAATAAGGAATTTGGTGATCCCCAAAACCGTCTGCTTATTGATTAAGTACAGCAGTTAAGTCACTGAAAATTTTGCGAATACTGCTGCAGTTTTTTGGTTAGGTACTCATCGCAATTTCAGACCAGAATTACTTACAAGAGATAAACAGTTCTGTATATAAGCCCTAAATATCTTTCAGATGTTATTAACTTGTTACAATCAAACTCGGGTTTCGAAATTAATCAGCATTTCTATAAAATTAAATTAAAAACCTATGAATGACTCACTACTACTCACTAGTTTCGTAATAAATAAGCTAAGCGAAACTGCGATGCCGCCATGCGTGAATGAACATTCACACAATTTGAATACAACTATTTCCTAATTTCGTATAGTTGTCAAAAAACTTATGCAAATCACATTGTTATAGTTTAGATTGTGAGTTTGTGAATCAACAATATATTGCCTAAATGACCCTATTCGGTGACTTTATAGGTTAGTAGTTCATAGTTTGTAACTATCGTAGGTCCTTTACTCTCTGTTTAAAACTTGAGAAGTGGATCGATTATGTAGCAATCTACAGGTAAGGGTACTTAGCCTGATTTTTTATTTTCAGATCCTTAAGAATATTGAATGGGAGAGTCAGATCATAATCTACTCATATCAAATCGTAGGTACCTACGTATTATAAAATTTACATACTGAATAATGAAACTTATCATCCAAACCATGAGGTCTACCTACCTATAAAGATTAAAGAAGTAAAATGTTACAAGAACAAATTTCATACTCAGGACTCAAGAAGTAGTCCTCCTCCAAAGCGCTCTTGATCTTATCTCTTCGGTCACGAGGTAGAATGGCACACTTCTCGTCCCACAAAGAGCGTAGTCGACGGGAGTTCGGTCGGGCTAACATCTCCACTCTTTCCATGTTCCGACGGATTCGAGGATTCATTCTATTCTCACTTTCTGCGGAAGAAATTATACAGTTCTGTCGGTTTTGATTAGGTATGTACTGAATCGTAGTTTGATTATGAAAAATCAAAAGTTCTTCTATTCTTTAATATTTTATTAAGACAGGTATTTGATTCTCGTATCTTATTCTGCCTGCTTTGTAAATGACAATAAAGATCTTGGCAATCTAGGATTGGATTTGCTGATTTGGATATTAACCGAAAATTTTGTGGTTAGTAGGGTAGTATATCAGTAGGTAGTAAGTCTATCTATCTATATCCTATCTAACCTAATTATGACAAATCGTTTTTTATTTCAGACATTTTATCTTTCGAAATAGCACCAAAAGACATAATACGATAGGCTTTATAGTGGCTACTTTCGATACCAAAATAAGAAACTAAGAATAGGAGAACGGACGGTAGACACTCGCGATCATTAATAATGAAAGGAATGTGTTTTTATTGGTGTACCACTTATTTCCTTCCTTTGAAAGTAGGTAGGTACCTATCTACCTATTATGTAATGTTCGGACAATATAGTAATGCCGCGCAGTGCCCACGTAGGTAGGTACTTGCATGGTTATTATCCATGGGTACTTGTAGGTTCGTGCAGCTCCTATTCTACACTATCTTTTAGTCCATCTTACAATTTGTTAGATTTAAATAATTAGGCTTAGCTAGTTGGTACGAGTTAGTTTAACGTTGAACGAGATCGAAACGTTACCGCATTTGACGCTCTGATTAGCTTATTTCAATGAACCAACCAATCAGGGCTAAATGCGATAACGTTTCGATCTCAAACAAAATACTTACTCTTATATATACAGAGTGGAATTTTGTAATGTCACCTGAAGGGGAAGTAGTCTTAATACTTAAGATAGAAAATTTTACTCAAAGAAAACATTCCTTTATTTTTTTAAAGCAAGAAAACGGCATAGAAGATTTTTAAAAATTCGCTTCTCGCACACGATGCAATAAAGTAGGTACAGTACCTACTTCCCCTTCATTAGAAAATTCCACCTGTATTCCCCACAAATATTCGTACCTCATTATTTCTAACGAATGGTTTTTATTGCTAGACTGTAGCAAGCAAGCACAACAGCTAATCGTAAGGTGAGCTCCCAGACGGAAAAGGTTTGGGTTTTGCCATTCGCAAGTCCAATAACAGGCACGATGTTTCAGTATTATAATTAGTGAAAGGGGGTCCACTACTACTGCTATAGTCATCCTGCGGCCGAGTGCGACACTTATTAGATCGTCTGTAGATCTGCCTTGTGGGCGGAAATTCTGCGCTGGACTGTATTTGTAGTAGGTAGGTGCCTATTTTGGTATATATATTTAACGCAAGGTAGGCTAATAGAGTAAATAAGTACCTGTATCCATTCTCATGACCTTGACATTATGGTCGGACGACGAATTAAGGTCCTGTCTGGAGCCCCTAAGTTTGTCCTTCGGGTCAAATCTCCTTGATGCCGTCGGCATGATTACATAAGTAAATTTACCACTGATAATTTAAATAAACTTCTCCAAAAATCACTTGATATTTGATGCGTTGCTTGACGTCTGACGTGTGAAAAATAATTTTTTGACATTGTTTTAATAAATGTGGCTAAATCTGAACCAGCCAGTTCTATCAGACGATCATGGTAGTAAGGCCTTTTTGGTTTTCAATCAGTTTATAGTTATGAAAACTCCTTGCAGTTTATATAAAAACTCTTTAGAAAAATCTCCTACAGCTTCGTTGATAGTCGTGGTCAAGGACCCTTTTTTTTAAACGTCTTTGGTGATAACAAACAGGCACGATTACAAATAAGTGTCTCGCCTTAGATTTCCACCAATTACAGAAATTAAACTCGGTGTGGGTACTCAAAGCTGAAGAAGAACAGCAACCAACCTCTGTACAACGACGTGTTTGATTCATGAAACAATTCTTAATGTTTTTTCTCCACAGATATTCTGTTAAATTGAGTAGACAGTAAAAAATACAGAAACTTTTAAATAGATTTATTTATTAATTCTTAAACACATCCAACTGTGTAAGTCTGGTATTCCGTCGTTGACGTTTGCTATAACTGGCGACGCTTCCTGCTCGAATGGTAGATGCCATGTGTTATTCTTCTTTTGAGCACAGGGAGTAAACATCAAGGGCGCCTGCAATGAATAATAAATAGTTTAAAAGGAATAAAGGCGACAGACGAAGAGAGCAATCGGCACTGGCTATGGACGACCGCAGTACAAGAGGAGTTGCAGGGGTTATAGAGGGAATTTAGTACTCCAATAGACACCCATACACAACGCAAATGTTCTTTTACACCGGTTTTCTGTCTGTAAGGCCGTAATAAGTAGAAAATAGTATTTGTTAATTATGTATTTTAAGTTTTAAGTCGTGGTAGCCGTGGTGGTTTAACCCCTCGAGCGTCCTTATGAGCACCGGTGGATCATAAGCAAAAAATGCTCCATGCTGCTTTCTCTTTTATAAAATCTATTATTGATTTGTTTTATTTCTATTGTAATGATCCTTGTTTTCGTGTGCCAATGGCCAAATAAATGCATTTTCTTGCATGCATAAGGATAAGGAAATGCGCAAGGAACGCGGACGCTCGACTTGTTAAGACGCCCGGTTCTCATGCATGAGGGTGCGGGTTCCAAATCTACCAACGGCAAGCACCAATGTGACTTTTTCCGTGTTATATGTACTTTCTAAAATTATCTAGACACCACTGACAAACGGTGAAGGAAAACATCGTGAGGAAACCTGGGCTTAAAATTTCGAATTATAATTTGTAATCTTAAACCCGCATTGAGCAAGCGTGGTGATTAATGCTTAAACATTCTCAGTATGAGAAGAGGCTTTGCTCAGCAGTGGGCACTTATAGGCTGATGATGATGATGATGTATTTTAAGTATGCTACTATATCGCATTGAGTCTAGCCTGTTATGATATATGTATGTTATAAGTGAATAATTAATAAGGTTACATTGCGACGAGAGGTCGCAAGCACAACTGGCGAACAATAGATTTTGGATTTGATCCTACTACAGCTACTAAAGCAAACAGACTAACACATTACTTTACCTGGATGGAAGGTCTTCTTTGAGCATTCTGAAATATCATCCATTGGTGCTGCCACTGCCATCTTTTGAAAATGTGTATCAAACTTTCATCTTTTAGAAGGAACTTATGTCCTCTCAACAAGTCTTTGGAAACTATATCAGTATGAGGACCACTGAGTAGAGCTGCTGTTATGAAGTATGGGTCATCTTGAGAACTGTGAATTAGTAAATCAATATTTAAGAATAGTTATACTATTATCGACAGATGCATAATACTGACATTGCTCATTTTTATTGAATTTTACACAGGGTGTCCTTGAAGTCGACGATCAAATAGCACCAGGTGATCGGTAAGGTTCTTACAGTTGTCAGAAAAATATAAAAATGTGTTATCCACTTACTCTTTCGTGAATAACACATATGTCACTGTAATTTAAAAACTACCTGACTTGGATTTCTTTTTATTTTTTTCTGGTAACCGTAGGTTACCTTTCCAATCACCTGGTGCCATTTGACTGTCACTTCAGGGACACCTGTATGTATATTCTAAATAAAGAAATATCTTACACATTTTCAGTAAAGAAACATTCAGTTTTCCGCATAATTTGCTGCATTATTTTCATATTCCACCTCATCATATGCTGCCTGCCTAAAAGCAGTATCTTTTTGTTCCGTCTCACAAAATGATCAACAACTTGGTTCAGAAACATCATCTTGTTTAAATGTGAGGCCATACCAACACCATAAGCTATGTTAAGTCCATCTAAAACAATGTCATAAGGTGCAGTTTTGTCTACAAAGTCGGTAAAGCGCTTTAGTTCTTCGGGTGATGTTTTTAAGAACAAATCTGAACCTACAATAAGTTTTTCTTTTACTATACTTTGTAGTTTGTCAAATTCATCACTTGTTAATGTTAAGCAGTCCAATGTATCCTTACAGCATGAACACTGGCCACTAAAAAATATTATATAAAATATTTAGTTATTTTTATTATCTTGTCTTGTTGCCAATAATTATCATACTAATTTACATTTATACTTACTTTACTTTCCTTATTTTGGCAAAACCTGCATTCCAATTTAAAGTGCCATATACATCTTTTAATTTATTAGCAGTTTGCAAAGGTATAACAGCACAATTTTTAGCAACAAAAGAAAATATTTCATTTAAATATTTCTCAATGGTTTTCTTGTCTTTATATTTTCTCAAAACATAGTCTATCCATGCTCCATAAGCATTTTCGAGTAATGGTCTTTTGCTTTTTATACTTTCATCAATTAGTTCTAAGGCCTTTTTCTTCTTATTAAGGTTAAAGAAGGTTGCTACCAGAGTGCTATAGGCTGAATGTGATGGTGCTGTGGTTAAATGTATGTCGCTTAATACTTTCAGAGCTTTTTCAGTTTCATTTATAGCACACAGTGCATGCAACAGACGTTCACATGTACTGTACTCTAACACTTTATATTTACCATATAAACTTTTATGAGCATCTAAAATAAAGTGTGTTTGATCCTTTGTTAATTTCTCCTTCTTCGATATTTCGTAATACAGATTCAGTAAGCTATTGATTGTTCCCAAAGACAATTCTTCCCCTTTACTTTTTAAATGTTGGGCAAATGATAATGCAATATCATATTTCTTCAAAGAAGTCATATATTTTAGAATGATCGCATCTATATTTTTTTTGTTAACATTGCCTTCCATGGTTAAAACGTCATTCTTAAAAGTAGTCCAGTCTTGTGGAATGTGCTCACCAACTGATTTAATTTGTTCTATTTGTTCATCATAGAACTTTTCTTTAAAAAAAGTTGCATTTTGGCTTAAAGCTCTTAATCCAACTCTTGCAACTGAAAAAAAAAACGTACACATTGTATCTTTTTTCTTTTTAGCAATGATATTTTTAAATTCTTTGGTAGTACCTAATATGCACACAACTGAAACTGTACTGAAAACTTACCTGAATTACGTTGAGTTACCATTCGAGTTATTGAATAAAACATTTTGAAAATAGTTCAAACTCAAACTCAAAGTCTTTCTCTTAAATTTATACATACATTTTATACATAAAAATGTAACATTTGTAAAATATATCACATTACATATTAGTATGAGGTTATATTTCAATTTTCAATTTAAACTAACTTCTTTGACATGACATTGATGTGTAAATGACATTGCGCCCTAGGTAATTGGATTTATTTAAAGATTTTTCGATTTTTGGTACATCTCTATGGTACATACATCTAAACATTACACATCTTAGGACTTTTAAATCGTGTTTTGTGATTATACAAGATAGTAAACCAGTGTCAATTTATACAACAAAGGTTCACATTTCACGTCATAATATTTTGTTAATACCAATAAATTCAATAAAACCATTTCACTATATTATTATTTTATGTGACTTCGTGTCTGTGGATGCGTCGCGTTCGCGTTTGGCGGCATCGGCATCGGGGCTATATCTCTATGGTCTTCAATTTCACGCAATAACGTCAAAATCAACAGTGTTTAATGTCGTCTTTCTGTTGAGTTGGGTCAAAGAGTATAATAAGTATAGGGGGGGTTGTCTATTCTTTCATCTTTCTGTCTGTCACTCGGATTTATTTACGTGCGACACGCTATTGGGGACTTTCGTTGGTAGTGGTGAAGGTTACGCACGTGCTTTTGTCATTCCTACGTTTATTTTCAATTTAAGTGATCTATTTCATAGTGATTTGAATTGAAATCTTTTAAATTTTGTGTCTTTGTGTTGGTTAAGTGTATGTGTGTGTAAGTTTTAATCAGGTATTGGTGTTTTTAAATATATTTTATTCTATTATTTCCTCTGCCCATCGCATTTTTTAACCGAAATGGGACGAGGTGAAGCCACCCGATCCTCCTGATCCCGATAAATCCCCGGAATATGAGACGGAAACTATCGTCCAATTACCCTTCCTCCAAACACCCGGATATCGAAATAATGGACGCAGAAGTCTCAAAATCCGGAAACGACCCGCAGGCTCCCCCCTTATCACCCAAAACAACCCCCGAAATTGGCGAAAAGTGTAAATGGTAGGCAATGTTACACGGCCAGGGACAATCCCCTTACATAGTTTATGTCTCCCTTAAGGACTCCCAGACGTCTGGCACCACGCTTCACCCAGTTAAGTTTGGTATGTTCCTAATGAAACTAAACATTAATAATGTTAAGATCGGTGGTGTCAAACGGCTGGGGAGGAATAGAGTTTCGGTCGAGTTTGTGACGCACCAGGATGCTAACAGTTTTTTAGTTAATGGTATGGTAGCTCAAAACTACACAACTTCGATCCCACAATTTAACATTACCCGAATGGGCATTGTCAGGGACGTCCCTGTAGAATGGACAGAGGACGAAATTATTGGCAACATCAGGGTTCCCACCGGGTGTGGGGCTGTGATAAAAGCTAGGAGGATGAATCGCAGAGTCTCAACCCAAACGGTACGAATGGAAGCTACCCAAAACCGTAGTGCTTACTTTTGACGGTCAAACACTGCCCAAAAAGTGTTTTGTTTCTATTCAGCACTCCGGTGGAACTATATTCATACCCGACCATACAGTGCTATCACTGTTGTCGTTTCGGACATACCCGCACTCTTTGCCGCTCCAAGCCACGTTGTTTCAGATGTGGCCAGGACCATCCAGGTGATGGATGCCAGATTTCAGCTGAGATTGCCACATGTATCAATTGCAATGGTAACCACTTTGCGAATGACAAAGCTTGTCCTGAATTGGGTCGCCAGAAGAGCATCAAAGCTCTGATGGCAGAAAAATCTATTTCATGCGGAAGCAAGCCAAGTTTTCCCTACTGTAAAAAGGTCATATGCTGAGGTCTCAAGATCAGTCAACTCATAGATCCATCACCTATTAAAAAATCATCCCAACAAAGAGTCTCCTACAAAAAAACTATCAACTCAAACCCAAATCACACGCTCCCTCTCTCCTAGTTATGATAAGAAGGCCCATCAGGCCTTATCCAAGACCACTCTTACTCCCATCCAAAAACGGTTGCGCTTTCCTGTGGAATCCGGAACCAACATTCGTAGCTAGTACATTCTTAATATAGTTTCTGATATGCTCATGGCAGTACTATCAAACCCTGCCCAAACGGTACCGGACCACGTCGCACAAAAGCTTTCAACAATTCTTGATTATATTTGTAAAATTCCTTCCTCTAACACTGCTTCAGTGGAACGTGAGGAGTACTCTTCCCAGGAAGAGTGACTTACTCCACTTAATGAATAAATTTAAACCATCGATTTGTGGCATTGCTGAGACGTGGCTTCGTCCGAATATCAATTTCGGGATCCCATGTTTCAGTGTTGTCAGACATGACAGATCTGATGGTTATGGAGGGTGTGCTTTGTTAATTAATAACAAAGTACCTTCTCCCAGATCCCTCTACCCTTCGTTGGCGATGACATAAATGTTGTCGCTGTTAAGGCTGAGGACATAATATATTTGTATTTTACATTGCTCACCTCATGTTGACCACCTTATTTTGATCAAAAATTTACTTACCTCAGTAAGTGGCCCATTACTTGTTATGGGTGACTTTAACTCCATCACTATAGATGGGGTTCAGATTTTTGTGATAATATGGGTAATGAGCTAGTTGAGATGCTGGGACGAACTCGATCTGTGTGTCATTAATGGCAGCCCTACTCGTAGGTCTGCATTTGGTCAAAGAAACAGCTGTGTGGACTTGACCTTTTGCTCGCCTGTTATGGCTAGCGTGCTAAATTGGAGTTGTTTAAATTTGACCTATGGTAGTGATCACTACCCCATCATAATTAAACACCTGTCAAAATCCATCCCAGATAAACCCTTCCCCCCTATTAAGATATCGTTTAGATTCCGCAGACTGGGATCTTTACTCTAAATTATTAGACCTCCGCATTTCTCTCCTTCCACCAGTTGACAATGAGAATTCTTTGGAATGTTTCTCCAAATTTTCCGACCTGATATCCTCCACAGCCGAAGATTGCTTTCCTGTGAAAAATCCACCGAAAGGCAATATCCCTTCTCCACCATGGTGGGATAGTGAATGCACTGCCATGATAAGAGCTAGGAATGCGGCTGAAAAGACATATAACCAAGATATGAACCTGGAAAACCTCCTAAATTTCAAGCGAATTTTGGCTAAGTCAAGGAAATTGTTCAAGAAAAAGAAGAGACAAGGGTGGCAGAGATATTGTGGTTCACTAAACCCATCAACACCAATATCCAAAGTTTGGCAGAGAGTAAAAAATTTTAGGAACTCCACCAAACCTCCCACTATCTCCACCTTACCCGAATCTCTGAGTAACAGTTTTTTCAACAACATTGCTCCAACGTATGTTCCTACTGCAGATGAATGCTGCCTGAGATCCCATGAGATCGAGCGACCCGAGTCTCATGACCCGCTCGATTTGGAGTTCTCACCTGAAGAACTTGAAACGGTACTCAATCATGTGAAGGACTCGGCACCAGGGATTGATGGGTTCCCCTACTCATTCCTAACTAAAGCAGGAACTAAAGCGAAGCAATACTACCTTGACTTGGTCAATTTTTGCTTTATTTCAGGCTATATTCCTCCTACCTGGAAGGTTCAGGTTATTATGCCGCTGTTAAAAGCTGGCAAGGACCCTGGTGACCATTTGTCGTACAGACCTATTGCCCTATCGTCCATACTTATTAAAACTTTTGAACACCTCATCAAAAACCGCCTTGAATGGTTGGTTGAGAGCCAGAGGCTGCTTCCGGCGACTCAGTTCGGCTTCAGGAAAGGTCTGGGTACGGCTGACAGTGTGGGTACCCTCACTTCAGCCATCCGACTGGCCCTTAGCAGGCAGGAGTCGTTGGTCGCAGTCTTCTTGGACATCTCAGCTGCCTATGATTCTGTCCTCTTACCCCTTCTCAGGCAGAAACTGCAAAAGCTGAGAATCCCGAGTAGGATCTGCCGAATTATAGCCCACATCCTTTCCGATCGTACCCTTCAATTAAGAACTCCTGAGGATAACCCAGTACGGAGGTCCTCCTGGAAAGGTTTACCTCAGGGGTCAGTCCTTAGCCCCATCCTTTATAACATTTATACATATGACCTTCCCTCCTGTCTAAATTTTAACTGTAATGTCCTTCAGTATGCTGACGATATCGCACTAATGGTTACTAACAGCTCTATAACAGACGCCGCCCACTCCATCAACGTCTCTTTGGCCTCATTAAACCAATGGCTTCTGAATCACGGGTTATCTTTAAGCGCCCCAAAAAGCTCAGCTGTCATTTTTACACGCAAACGACGCACTCCGGATCTTCGTGTAGAGATAGACGGTCAGAATATCCCAATCAAAAGCAGTGCTAGATTCTTGGGGGTTTATCTCGATTCAAAGATGTCTGGGGCGGATCACATAAACACTGTGGTTGCAAGGTGTGAACGCTCAGTATCGATACTCAGAGCTCTGGCCGGGGTATGGTGGGGTGCACACCCCTACTCATTGAAGCTCATCTATAATGCATTGGTCAGAAGTGTAATGGACTACTGTTGCTTCCTTATTGTTCCTTGCAATAAGGGTGCATTAAAAAAACTAGACTCCATTCAGGCCAAATGCCTTAGAATAATTATCGGAGCTATGAAATCATCCCCCATAAATGCTTCAGGTTGAATGTGTAGAGCCTCCCCTCAACCTTCGAAGACAATACCTGGCAGACCGCTTCATCTCAAAAGTCCTCTCCCTCTCATCACACCCTTCTTCCTATCCTAGAACAAATCCACTGTTCCTATAGGTCCTCTTCCTACTGGAACAATAAACCTGTCCCTCCCGTGATTGTCAGGTACAGGGAGCTTAAAAACCTCTCTGCACCCATCAGGCAATATCCTGTACTCCCGGTTTTCTCTTCCGTATATGAGGTTATCCACTTCAGGCCAAAGGTAATTCTAGGACTCGGCATCTCGAAATCCTCCGTAGATGCTGCGGGCGAGTTTGGGCGCGCTTTGAACAGTTACTGGAGGGGCTGGAATATTTTCTTCACCGACGCGTCTAAACTATCCCGAAATGGAAGTACAGGAGTAGCAGCGTACTTCCAAAATTCGAAGATCGCCCTCCTCTCCAAGTGTCCCCCGGAAGCATCTGTCTTCACGGGAGAATGTGTTGGCATTTTAGAATCAATAAAATTTATTAGAGCACACAACCTTAGAAATTCTGTTATTTTTTCCGACTCCCGAAGTAGCCTACAGTCTCTCAACCAAGACCAGCTCCATTCCCGAACTCATAGCAGTTTGGTTGTAGAGATAAAGGCGCTTCTTTTTTCTTGCTTCAAAGATGACATAAATATCGAGATCGCTTGGATTCCTGGTCACTCTGGCATATGTGGTAACGAGTGTGCGGATTCATTGGCCAAATTTGCGGCCTCGAACGAGGTCGAACGCCAACACTACGTTGTGTACGGGTATGATATACGTGCCGACACAAAACACAAGCTGTTTGACTCATGGGCTGCAGTGTGGGTAGAAACTTCCAAACGGAAAGGTGCCTACTATGCAGTTGTCCAGCCCGGCATCCGACGGAAACCTTGGTTTTCAAAGTACCCTAAGCTTCCCCGTCATACTGTTTCATCCTTGTGTAGGCTCAGACTCGGCCATTGTAGTAGTCCGGTCTTCCTCAACAAGATCCGTGTCCGCGACAGCTCGCTGTGCGAATGCGGCCTTGATGAGGGAACCTTAGAACACATTTTTTTCGTGTCCCTTAAATTCCCAATCCTTTGACCTCTATAAAAAACCCAGTATCCAAATCCCAATCAGTTTCCACCTCCTTTTAACTCACTTTTCCCACAAAGTAATTATTTATATATGTAAATTTATGAATGAAAATGAGATCAAAATGTGACGGTGTCCAATGATGTATATTAATATCTGTCTATATTGTGTATGTCCCCCAACTATTTTATACACCACTGTATAATACTAAAATAGTTGATAATGTTTATGTTTTACTAACCCAATTGTTTTGTCTTTTCAGCTACTAACAACTAAAAACTACCGCAAAGTTAAGTTCGACGGTCCAATAATTTTGCCGTCACCACTCGACACTGGCAGTATAGTCGACAACACCATTTTGGAGACTCAGTTGCCAAAGAAGAAAAAAAAAAAAAAAAAAAAAAAAAGACACGCTATTATATTTTGTCTCATTTCGTACTATTTAGCTTGTGTACTTATTCCAATAATTTATGTTTACGTAGCATAAACCCTAACTTATAAGAATCATGGATAGTAAAACTACAAAAATGCCCAAAGTGGCAAAGGTAAATATTTCAATACCCAAGTTGGAGAGTGTTACTCAATTTACTTGAATTTATCTAAAAATTAATGCTTTTTAGGTGAAAAACAAAGCGCCCGCAGAGATACAAATTACTGCTGAACAACTTTTGAGAGAAGCCAAAGAGCGAGATTTAGAGATTTTACCACCACCACCAAAACAGAAAATATCTGATCCAGAAGAGCTTAGAGACTATCAGCATCGCAAGAGAAAAGCATTCGAAGATAATATCAGAAAGAACAGACTTGTAAGTACCAGACTCTAGAATTAAAAGTGATTTTAAATATATATTATTTTGTTATAACCTACAAAAAATATTCTGACTAAAATCTAATAAGTTGAATGTAATTAAATATACCTATGAAATTTAGCAATGCTAAGTGGATTATATCTTATTTCAGGTTATAGGAAATTGGCTCAAATATGCTCAGTGGGAAGAATCACAAAAGCAAGTCCAAAGGGCTAGATCCATTTATGAGAGAGCTCTTGATGTGGACCACCGAAATGTTACCTTATGGTGAGTTATAATAGAATGTAATTTTTAATAATTGTATTTTTTTTTTTTTTTTTAAAGGGGGAAAATCATCGAATGACTGCTCCCGCCTGGGTGAGGCGGAAGGGAGTGTCAGACTCTTACTGACTAAAAACCACCCCGTTCCTTCTCCTGCACGTCGAGCCGGAACCCCGGTTACCCGTTAGGTTCTCCGCGACTCCGAATCGGCATCGGCCCTATTGGGCCCCATCTGTGGTGGTCTGATGGCTCTTTGAGGCGCGCGCGGAACGCGACGCGCCGTACGCTCGGGGTTAATAATTGTATACTGCTTAAACAAATAGTAACAATAAATGAACTTTAATTGCAGGTTGAAGTATACAGAAATGGAGATGAGGAACAGACAAGTGAACCATGCTCGCAACCTGTGGGACAGAGCAGTCACTATACTGCCAAGAGTCTCTCAGTTTTGGTACAAGTACACCTACATGGAGGAGATGTTGGAAAATGTTGCAGGAGCCAGACAGGTACGAATCCTGTTTATAGCTCAAACATTTGTACATTTATTTATCTGAAAATATAACAAATAATGTCATGTTATTTAAATTTCTAGGTCTTTGAACGTTGGATGGAGTGGCAGCCAGATGAACAAGCATGGCAAACATATATAAACTTTGAGCTAAGATATAAAGAACTCGATAGAGCTAGACAAATCTATGAAAGATTTGTTATGGTGCATCCTGATGTTAAGAACTGGATCAAATATGCAAGGTTTGAAGAAAATCATGGATTTATAAATGGTGCAAGAAAGGTATTTGAAAGAGCTGTTGAGTTCTTTGGTGATGAGGATCTTGATGAAAGACTATTCATTGCCTTTGCAAAGTTTGAAGAAAATCAAAAAGAGCATGATAGAGCTAGAGTTATCTACAAATATGCATTAGACCACATTCCAAAAGACAGAAATAAGGAATTGTATAAAGCTTACACTATTCATGAGAAAAAGTATGGGGATAGATCTGGTATTGAAGATGTTATTGTAAACAAGAGAAAGTATATGTATGAACAGGAAGTTATTGAGAATCCCACCAACTATGATGCCTGGTTTGACTACATAAGACTTGTTGAGAATGAAGGAAATGTTGATGATATCAGGGACACCTATGAAAGAGCTATAGCAAATGTGCCTCCTTCGAAGGACAAGCAATTCTGGCGACGATACATATACTTGTGGATTAATTATGCTTTATATGAAGAATTAGAAGCAGAAGACGCTGAAAGAACAAGGCAAGTTTATAGAACATGTCTGGAACTAATACCACACAAGATATTTACATTTTCTAAAATATGGCTAATGTATGCTCAATTTGAAGTAAGGTGTAAAGATTTAAAACAAGCAAGAAAGACCCTAGGTATGGCTCTTGGCATTTGTCCCAGAGACAAGCTTTATAGAGGCTACATTGATTTGGAGATTCAATTGAGAGAATTTGATAGATGTAGAATATTATACCAAAAGTTTTTGGAATATGGCCCAGAAAATTGTATAACATGGATAAAGTTTGCAGAGTTAGAAACATTGCTGGGTGATACTGACAGGGCTAGAGCTATTTATGAAATAGCAGTAGGGCAGCCAAGACTTGACATGCCTGAGCTCTTATGGAAAAGTTACATAGACTTTGAAGTACAACAAGGAGAAACAGAAAAAGCAAGACAACTTTATGAAAGGTTGTTGGAGAGAACAGTCCATGTAAAAGTTTGGCTTTCTTACGCAAAGTTTGAATTAAATGCTGAAAACGCTGACAATATAAATGTAGATCTGGCTAGGCGTGTCTATGAGCGTGCTAATGATAGCCTCCGAAGTGCTGGTGAAAAAGAGGCCAGAGTACTTCTACTAGAAGCATGGAAAGATTTTGAAACTGAAATAGGTGAAGAAGAAAAACTTGAAAAGGTTCTGTCCAAGATGCCTAGAAGAGTTAAAAAGAGACAAAAGATTATTAGTGAAAGTGGAGTTGAAGAAGGGTGGGAAGAAGTATTTGATTATATTTTCCCAGAGGATGAAATGGTTAGACCTAATCTTAAGCTGCTTGCTGCTGCAAAACAATGGCGCAAACAAAAAGAAGTCTCACAACCACCAGAATCAGAATCTAGAACTGACCATGAAGAAAGGCAGGAGAATGATGATGATGATGATGATAGTGAAGAAGAAGAACAAACTCCTCCACAACCACAGAACCAGAATGAAAAAGAGGATGACAGTTAATTTGACAATAATTAAAAATAGAGTAAAATAAAAGATTTTCTGGAATTTTATGTCATTTATTTGTCCAAGCTAATCAACATCTTCTGGGCGAACTGGATGTGTCAGTGGTATTACAGACTTTTTATTAACATCTCTTGAACATGCTTTTCTCATATCTGCAACACAAAATAATAAATGAAATAGTGTACACAAACAATTTTAAATTAAATTATCAAAACATCATCTTACCATAAGCATCTTCATCTGGATCTCCAGAGTAATATTCTAATACTGTCCTATACACTATGTAGCCTAAGTTCTTGTACATATTAATTGCAACTTTATTGCTTACTCTAACAAAGAGGTCCACAAAATAGGCTTTTTTCCTGTAAAAATCAAAACAAATTATGCACTAATCATATTTAGAACAAAAATTGTAATATTTCTTATACTAAGTTATATACTGACTTCTCTGACACATCTTCCAAAATGTTCATCAAAGTAGCTGCAAGGCCCAACCTCCTGTATTCAGGGCCTACAGTCAATGCAGTAACATGACCATGCCAGTTCTCGCCGTGACCCTCTGCTTTTCCCATAACTGAAAATATATTTTAACATTGCAATACTAGAGCTATTAAATGGGTAGTACTTTAAGTACTACTAGTTAAATTTTTAAAATTTAACTTAGTACAACACAAAACAGAAAATCAATTGAATCACTCACTGTATCCCATTATTTCTCCACTCGGAGACTCGACAACTTGAAAATATTCTGGCCAATGAGCTAAATATTGAGTATAAAACGATAGCCCATAAGTTTCAGTAAGAGGGTCCAAATTTCTGTGAAAACATTATTATATATAAGTTTTTACTTGATAAGCAGGCGGCATGCGGCATCTGCACTTTAAAAATAATGTTTCCAAAATATTTCCACTTACACATTGTTGAATTTCAGCATGTCTTCACACGTAAATGGTCTAATAGTAGTCATTTTAAAAAAGTATCGGACGTGTAACTGAACCTATAAATACGTGAATATTATTTTAATAGAAAAGTGAGACATTAGACAATTTTTCTTGGTAGAAATTTCAGTGTCTATTTGTATTGTCAATGTCAGAATATGTCAAATTATCAACAGTGTCAATGTTACGTCAAGCACCATGGAACTCATAGACATTGTTTTTTTTTCTTTCAAAATAGCTGTATATCGAGTAAAACAAACGGAAAAATGCATCGTCAACCAAGTTATTTTTAGTCGAATCGAACAATTTAGTTTTGAAATCTTGACTTGTTAAAAACAATCAACAATTTCATGATTGTTCTTGCTCATTTGCTATATCTTTGTATGTACGGTGCACACTACGCATCATCACATCATACATCACTATGAATTTAGTAATAAAAATAACGTTACCGTTGTTGTGTAGTAATGTAAAATGTACCCATTTTATATGATATAGTTGTAATTGTAAGCAGACCAGAAGAAATAATATGAGATGCAGTGTGCGTATGTGTACTTGTTTCGTCATATCATCGGGTGAAACGGTGAAAGACGTCGAAAAACACTATCGGCTAGTCGCATAATACCTTTCCATGATTACAAACCTCTCAAATCAAAATCAACAAACAAATCGAAAATCGTACCAAATGAATAGCTAATGAGTTTGTCAGTTTTGCAAGATTGAAAATATATAATAAGTCTGTATTTTCGTCTCATTGTTTTGCTTGTGACGACGTATGATGTAAATGATATAAAATCATAATCGACTAAAAAGCAACCTATGCATAGTGCTTACAGTATATTTAAAGAATAAATTGGTTTGTAATTTTGAAACAAAAATTTCTCAAACAATGGTCTTATAGTATAAAACTTCATAATTTAGTATTTTAATTTATAAATATCATCAAAATTTGTTGTAAAGTGTACAAAATCTGAAGTAAAAATAGAGAAAACAGAAACATGCACGGTTTTGTTGCCACCTGTAATAATTTTTGTTGTACTAGAGTTATTGTCTGACTCGTTTTAACACATGTCGAAAGACATATTTATTACTCTTTTACAAGCTAAAAGCTCAAGTGGAGCGATCTATGGGCTTCTTGCAGTTTACCAACACGACAATGGCCGAATTGTCCGTATAGGATATTTTTTATTGGCCCGTACGTCCCAACCTGCCATGTCTTTGGTTTTAAAAATGGCGTATACAAGCTTTTTGTTTGCCGGTGTACGCTGTTGAATACTTTCCAAGACCTCGCGCGTATTCCTATAAGACCTAAACGTCGTGAATATGAAATTAAAGTACATGTGTAGGTATATAATCAACGCTGTGGACCTCGTGAACGAAATTTTGTAGCGTTATGGTGAATTAGAATGGTGCCTGTGGCTTGTCAATCTCGCACGTCGTCAGGTTACCCGTTCGTAACGTAAATATCACCCAGCGAGCGTTTTGTATTTCAGATATGACAGCGTCGCAAAACAGTAGATAATGGAGAGTTCTGAAGATGATGCGGGCACAGCGACGAACGCTTCCCGCCGTGCATCGGCGCGGGAAAAGGACGTCGGACTGGCCGAGGACGTCAATGCAACTAGTAGTTTCCAGCAGGAACCATCTGAAACGCGGACGGCTTGTGATACTCCCGCGATGTCGGAGGATAATTTCGACGGCGATAGCGTACCGTCGCCGTCGACGCAGGACGTCAACGCGAGCACCGAGGCGATTTTGGATATGATAGATGAAATTGTTGACGGTCCGGGTGCGCCAAAGCGGGTACCTCTAGAATCGGAATCTGTAGATACGCTTTTTGACGAACTCGAAATCACCAGTGAACACTCGAATATCATTGTACAAGAATCAAGTAACACTCTTTCGGACAACATCACTGCACATCCCGCAGAAGCATCGCCAGCCGACAGTGTCAAAAACGATTTACCGGTTCAGTTTGGCATTAACTCTCAGGCGGAATCGTCTTCAAGTGATCTATCACCAGGTGTTGTAAATGCAGACAGTGTTGACTCTTTACCACAAAGTTCATCTCTGCCAGAGGCAAGTGAGCCTGCAGTGTCTACACAGCCTGAAGACAGTGCTTTGTCAAATGTGGTACCTGAGGCATTAGAAGCACCTGCTAGTTGCCCTCCACCCTATATTCCTTCCAGCAGTGAAGAAAAGACTGTGCTGAGCATTACAGACTCTAGTGGTGATTGTGAAACACAGGAACGAACAGTGAAGTGTGTGTCATCCAGTGATAACAGGGACAACGTGACTGTTGAAAGTGCAGAATCAACATCTAGTGATAGTAGTGTTAGTGAAGGTAAAGCAGTGTTTGTAGAAACGCCAGTTCGGTCACCACTCAAACGGCGTCTGGTACGGCCAGCACCCAGTGATCGACGGCCAGACTCTACAGTGTCTTCAACTGTTGATTCCCAAATTGTTCATTTACCTGCTACTGAACAAACAAGTAGTGAAAATATCACCAAGGATGTGACAAGTTCATCTGATGCTGTGCCCACATTACATGGTAACGTAAAACCAGAAGAGATTAGAAATGTAAGTGAAAATAATTTCTGCAAAGCAGAAACGTCTGTGAGTTCTCCTAAAAAAATTAAGCTTATTAGGCAAAAAGTTATTTCTGGTACTAATAATAGAGATAATTCTATTAATCAGTCTGCTATTCAGTCAGATAAGGATCAGTGTCAATCAACTTCATCTGATAGCCATTCATTACCCTTGGCTGAGCCTCATTCAGAATCTTCAAATAATATTAATATCTCACAATCTCAAGACAGCAATGAACCATTAATTCCTGTTGTTAACTGCATATCTGAGGCACCTGTTAATAGTCCTGTACAAACAGTGACCTCTGACGAACATTCCCAACCCAGAATAGAACATTCTCATTCATCAAAACTAGAAGAGATTGAAACACATGATAGTCATGAACAGACCCCGTCTGATCAGTCCAGCTCATGTTCACCAAATTCTTCGGAAGCAACCAAACCTATTGCCGATGATAATAATGTAGTAAATGAAACTAGTAGTATATCTGTTCCAAACTCTGCCCCACCACAAGCTGAAATTATTGAAATGATTTGATCCCTGATGAGAGCAATGTTAATTATGATGATCATGGGGATACTAAAGATGTAGAAAGTGCTCAAAAAGAAGTATTACAAAACATACCTGCAAGCACACAGAATGTAGAGAGCTCTGAACCAGAGAGTAGCAATAACAGAGCTCAAAATCTTACAACAACTCAGGATAGTGTGCAAATTCAAGATCATACAGAGGACCATCTTCCAAATGAGCAAAATGATAATATGCAAGTCGATGACCACACACAAGTCCAAGATCAAAAGGATCAGGAAGATAGCATGCAAGTGGAAGAGCACATAGAAAGGCAGGATCCCAATCAAACCGAAGACCAAACAAAACAGGAAGATGATATGCAAGTGGATGAGCATACAGGAGGACAAGATCACTCACAAGTCCAAGATCAAACTACCCAGGAAGATAACATGGAAGTGCAAGACAACACAAAACAGGATGATCATACCCAAGAGCATGATCATACAGAAGTGAAAGATCACACACAGGCGCAAGATCATACACAAGTGCAAGATCATACACAAGTGCGAGATCACACAGAGGCGCAAGATCATATACAAGTGCAAGATCATACACAAGTGCAAGATCATACACAACTGGAAGTGTTGGAGCATACAGATGTGCAAGATCACATGCAAGCTCAAGATCATACAAAAGTAGAAGATCACATGCAAGTGCAAGATCATACAAAACTAGATGATCATATGCAAGTGCAAGATCATACAAAACTAGATGATCACACGCAAGTGCAAGATCTTACAAAAACACAAGATAACACGCAAGGGCAAGATCCTACACAAGTGCAAGCTCACACACAAGTCCAAGAACACACTGGTGTGCAGGATCAGGCACAAGTGCAAGACTATACGCAAGTGCAAGATCCTATACAAAAACAAGGACATACACAATCGGATCCTTCACATACGCAAGATCGCAAGCAAGTGGAAGATCACACAGAAGTGCAAGATCATAAAGAACTGGAAGATCACATCCAAGTGCATGATAATACACAAGTGCAAGATCACATGCAAATGCAAGATCGCCCGCAAGAACAAGATCATACACATGGGCATGATCAGACACCACTTCGTGAACACACGCCAGACGCAGTTAGCATACAAGTGCAAGAAGATATCCAAATGGAAGAACCTAAGCCAGTACAAGAGGATGAAAAGAAAGTTCCACCTATCAAGCTTAACTTATCTATGGCTAATCTAACTGAATCAAACAAAGAGACAGAACACAGCAGTATTAGTAGAACCAATGTTACCCATGAAGAATCTGAAGTAACCAAACAAGTCCCCAAATTAACTATCAAGTTGAAACAACCAGATGAAATTAAGTCACCTGTACCCAAAGTAACAATAAAACCTATCAAACCACCTGTTGAACAAGATTCAGATGATAACACTGAAGATAATCATCAAGTACCTTGTGTAACTAAAATAAATATTAAGCCTATCCCCAAACCAACAGAAAATCTTAATGAGAAAACATTGAGATCACAACATACAATAGAAGGGTCAACTAGACCAAATGCAAGTGTCACAAAGCTAAATATAAAACCAATACCCAAACCTCCAGAGAAAATAAATGATTTTCATAGAAAATCTAGTAGCAGCGAAATTTCAGAATCTGAATATTCTGAAAACGATGAAACCAGCACTTCAGACCAAGCATCTACTTCTGATCAGGGACCTTCTGATGTTGTCCCTAAAGTTACAATTAAACTAGGAAAGCCTGGCACTGAAAGTGAAGGTAAATTTTATACTGAAAAGAATATTCCAAAACTTACTATAAAAGTCCAACAAGATGAAAATGATGAGCAAGAACCTAAATTAAAGAAGATGGTAATTAGTCAGTCAGAAGCTTCTTCCGACACACAACTTGAAAAAATTCCTAAACTGACAATAAAAACTATCTCAAAATCAGAAAGTCAACCTCTCAGTCCAAAGTTGACTATTAAACCTTTGAAACCACCAGACACAACCAATAAAGATGGAGAAATAATCCCTAAAAAGAAGATATCTACTGAATTATTTGCATCAGCAGATGAAAAGGAGAGTCCACATGTGCCTAAAATTACAATAAAACCTGTAACAAGGTCTACAGCAATGTGTGACAGTCCAGAACATATCCCTGTAGTAACAAAATTGAATATTAAACCTATTTTGAAACCTATGGACAGTGGAGAGACCCCTGAAGGCTTTGAAGATAAAGTTCCTGTAGTTTCAAAATTAAATATTAAACCTGTACTAAAGCCTAAAGATAATGATGTAGATTCTAGTGTAGATGATGTACCTAAAATAACTAAATTAAATATTAAACCAATAAAGAATCCTGAGGATATTTCTTCAGAGGAAAAAGACTGTGATGAATTGAATGCTGACATTGAAAAAAATAGTATACCTGTTGTTACTAAAATTAATATTAAGCCTATAATTAAGCCTCATGATGAAGAAACGCTAAAGGATTCAGAAAACCAATCATCAGAGACTGGTAATTCAAGTGATGATAATGGAGACCACATACCTGTTGTTACAAAACTAAATATAAAACCAATTATAAAACCTGATAGCTCAGATGAATCTTCTAAAACTGTTTCATCAAGTGAACCAAGCATTCCTGTTATAACTAAATTAAACATTAAACCAATAATAAAACCCGGAGAAATCTCACCATCATCCCCTAAAAAGGAACACAAAATTGATGGCCATAGTCCAATACCAGTTGTTACTAAATTGAATATTAAGCCTGTTGTAAGGCCTGATGACTCCGATTCAGCAAAAAGTAAGGATGATACTATAGATAAAACTCCCACAAAGAATCCTCCCCTTGTGATGAAAATCAACATGAAAACCATGACTGAAAATTTCAATAATGAACATGCATCTTGTAACAACGTCATCAATGAACCATTGCCTATGTCTCCTAAAAAAGTAAAGGTAACTAATGCAATAGAATCTAAATCTGAAGCAGCCTCAGAAAAGAATTCTAAAAGAAGTAGTGAACCAGTAAATGATATACTGGCCCCAGTAAAGGACCATTCTGGAGAAAAAGTCAAACAAAACTGTGTACCTGACTCTATTGAAAAGAATGCAGGTGTTGAAACACCATGTGTAAATAAACCAGCATCATCTCTATCAGAAAAAGAAAAGCATTCACAATCAGGGACAGGCACTGAATGTGATTCTATGGTCACAGGATCCTCATTTCCTGAGTCTAGTACAGATAAAATGCCAACTGTAATTAATGCAACTGGCCAAGAACACAAGAACATGAATTTAGGACCCACTGACTCAATAAGTGAGGCAAATATGATGCAAACAATTAGTAGACATCAAGAAACAAGAAGTAGATCAGTGCAAAATTGTACTTTATTGAAAAAACTTTTAGAAAATAAATGTAGCAGTTTAGATAAAAACCTTGAAATATCTCCAATAGTGAATTATGCTTTACCTGCTGAAAATAAAACCTTAAACAGTGATCATTTAGTTGAATCGGGAAAATCTAGCTTAGAAAAATTAAGTTCTGGAAATCTAGAGAAAATGGAGAGGAGAAGTGCTACTCCTGATAAGATTAATGATTCAAAAAAGTCTGTAGATTCGATCACACATGCAAACCAAGATCATTGTGATAAGCTAAACGAGAACTTAACCAAACCCTTAGAAATTACCATATCTGATAAGGTTACAAATCAAAGTTCTGGCCAAGATTCTCCAAGAATAATATTAAAAATTAATAAGACTGACCATGGTCCCTCAGCAAAAATTATTACTGAAGAAGTAAAGAGGCCTGATGTGCAACAGAACCTCTCTGAAAATACTCAAGATATTGTAAATGATAAGCAGAGTCCGAAAAAATATGTAAATAGTAGAAAGAAACAAGCATTAGATACATCATTGAATTTATCTTCAGGCAAGCGCTTAAGGAGTTCAAGAATCGTAGAAAATACAGAAAAGACTCCAATAGCAAAGCGGAATATGGGCAAGAGGCCATCCGCAACTGATACTAGCCCTCCTCAAAACAAAGATTCTAACAAAGATTCTGACCTTTCCTTGTTACAAAGTAAAAGGTTAAAATTAGGACAACTTTTGAGCAACAAGTCCCTTACGATTAGTCCTGTTGCAAAAGCTTCTCCGCCCTCACCCACAAAGACTGGTTTAGATTTAAAACAGGGAGGTAAAAATGTCAATCACTCTCTATTGAATAATGAGAATTGTTCAAAGAATGGCAACTCAAAATTACATAATATTTTGTCTAATTTACATGCAAAACAAAATATGCAATCATTGTCTTATAATAATACAAACTGTTTAGAAAAACCACAAACTGTCGCTACTGATAAAGAAGTAAACGCTTCAGTGAGCAGCTTGGATGCAGTTGGAACTACTTCCGTACAAAACTCGCATCCCGAACTACAAGAGATGATAATAAATGAAAACTCAGAATATCGTGAATTTGGCACTACTCCTGAAGAGGTTTCTCAAGATCCTTTAGAGGTAGCCAGACCACCTGAGGAAAACACAGAGATTGTAGACATTCCTAAATCAGTGGAATTAACACCGCAACCTAAAAAACGGGGACGGCCACGAAAGTTGCCAGTATCTGAAGGAGCGAAACCCGTGGCATTGCCGGTGCCAGCCTTAGAAGAGCGGCCACAGCGGTCATTACGCTTAATGAGGTAAATATAGGTTATCTATAAAAGTCTTTTATTAATCTAAACTGTAATATTACATAGTGAAGATATATACTCTACGTCCACAACTTAATGAATATTAACATAAAGTACGTTGTTTCCAGGGACAGGCCGGCAATACTGACGAAACCACGAGGCCGTGGTAGAGGGCGAGGGGCACGACGTGTGGAAGCGACCACTCCGCCTACAGAACTCGAGACTATTGTGGTTATCGAGCCTGCTGACGAGCCGGAAGACCGACCACCTCCTGCCGAAATCGACCCGACTAGTTCGAGGATCAAGCTACCGCGTATGACGGAGGCACTCGACAAAATGCCTTCTGCTTGCGTAACACCTTTGTCAAGTAGACGACGGAATTCGTCAGGGAATTTCTCGACTGGTGAATCACCTGAATTGAAGGTGGTGCTTGAGAACTCAAAAATCGACGATATAATGAAGAGTCCTGAGGCTGGTGGTTCAGGGAGGGGTCGAGGTGGGCGGGGGAGCCGTGGCGGTCGTGGAAGGACGCCACGTGGTCGAGGACGGGGGAGGGGAGGCGGCCGTGGCGCTACCTATATGAAGGTATGTTGTTTGGTTACAAATCTGCATAAGTATTTTTTCTATTAGAAGATTTCTTAAACAATTTTATTCAGTGAAAGAGAGCAGTGCATTTACCATGATTAAACTCGCGTTACAGGAAACTATGGGCATCTACGGGCGAGTGTGCGGGCCAGCTACGACAACAGTGCAGCTCTTCGAAGAAGAAACGTGTATGATGGACGATAACGCCACTCCCGCTAAGTGAGTATGACTAAATTATCTGACTAACACTATAATTTTATTAACTTTATCTGCATAACGAATCGAGTTATCATAAGAAATAAGAAAACGAAGGTTGTAAACGACACTATTTTATGTTTTAGACCCACACATTTATTGGATGAAGATTCTCAAAGTTCTGTGAAGAGTTCGACGAATGAAAGTAGTAAAATGAAGAAATCAAAATTTGCTGATTTGTTTGACAGGTATTTATAGAAAACATTTCATTGGAATAAAGTTGTGCTCATAATATAATTAAGGAATATAAGTTATTTAACATATTATTTGTGTTTTACAGTAATAAGGTATGGACGGCCGCGGATGTAAAGGAATACACGTGGCCCCCACCAGACAAGGCTGATGTTGAACATAAGGTAAACTATAACTATTTAGCGCTAGGTTTGAGTAACCAACCACTGTTGAACATAGGCCCCAATGACTTTCAAATCAACCAATTGGAAGCTATCTACGAACTGTTTAGGTCATCTGTACATCTGTCTGACGACAAATGCCTATGGTACACATTATAGTTCTGACTGTTACAGTAAAAATAATAACAATTTGAGCAAAATTTCGTTTACTAGTTATAACCAAATATGGTTTCTAAATAAAAAAGAGCCAATACACATTAAAAATATATTTTATAATTTTTATTACAGGTAATGATGATCCAGGAGCAAGTAGCGATGTTTCTAGGAGTGAAGAGCTTCAAGCGGCGGTACGCGGAGCTGAAGAGGCGGACTATCTCTGGTGAGGAGAGGGACTACGTTCTTAGTAAAGGTCTCGTGACTGAAGCATTGTGTGACCTTGGTAAGTTTATTTTTTAACCTATTATTCTAACTATTAGTAGTAAGTCCTCGTTCTTTCTTTGTTAGGTGCAGGAATAGAATGTGGCCTGGATGTCATCATAATAATGATGGCACTCGACTTTTATGCACTCATATAACATTGATCAGATTTTGATGACAATAGTAGCATAGTATAAAGAACACAGTAGGTTATCTAAGGCCGCCCGCCGAGTTATTAGCCTACTCTTGCGTTGATCCCCAGGGTTGTCACTTTTACTTTTAGTTAATATTTTCGAACAAGCAGCACTTGATCTAAATTTATGAAATGAAAAGCATATTATGATTGAATATTTTATCAATTTATAAATTTAGTAAAAATAAAAAGCTTATAAAAAGATTATTAACTTCTTAAAATAAACTTTAGCTCTATACATAGTTTTCAGAAAGTAAATTTGGGAATACATTTATATGGAAAAATGCGACACGGCCACGCTATTAACAAATCAGATAAACTGTGAAATAAACAATACAATACCACATTTTCTTATAATATTTAAGTATAGTAGGTAATTACATTTCTGGTTGAGTAGGAACTATAAAGAATGATAAGAGTAAGAATAAGTAAGTAGGTATCTCATCATCAAGTACCTACAAATTATATTATACTAGAAAAAGTGACTAGCTTACCTTTCCTGTTCAATAGGTAATCTGAACAGAGACAGTTCTGGAATCGATTAATTATTAAGACACCCAAACACACAGCAATACGTTCATCTACGGTTATCAGACATTTTTTATTTCATTTAACAGTGCCGAAAAGTGATGCGCGCGCGAACCTCGTGCAGTGTTAGCCCTGCCTGGCGCACTGAGAAACGGGTCGAGATTTTGTTAAAGTGTGCGTGCGTCGACGCATAGATACTATGGCGCACACATATAAGCCGCGCGCGAAGCATTTGTATGAAGATAACCTACTTTGTTCTTTATACTATGATAGTAGGATTTTCTAGGAGTGTCAGTGCTAATCTGGGGCGTTTGGAATTCTTATAACGATTGTATCCAGCTATTTCTGCCTTTAATCTTTGGTTATGTCATTATAATTGAGGATTTTATTCCTTACTTCTATCTTTTTGTTATATGACCAAAAACACTATTAACAAAATACCCTTCAACAGGTATCACCGCGGTAGACGCCAGTGAAGTTTTAGACATTATGTTATCGGACTATCCACACAAATATGAAGAGTTTCGGTCGTACCAACGGCAACGGCAATTGGCTGAAGCTGCTGAGGAATCAGCTGAAGACATTAAAACCGAAGAAAAGGTGGTAAAGGTTGAAATGAAATCGGAGAAACCGGTTGAACATAAACCTGAACAACCGAAAATTGACCCTGAAAAGACAAGACAGGTAAGTTAGGGTCGTAAGGTAGATAAATTTTTGGTTTTCGCGATTTATAAGTATTGTAATACAAGTAACATAAATGGATTATTTTTGATGTAGGTAATTTTGTATTTATTTATTCTTGACGTTTATGCGTTTTTTTTTTCATTTGAGGTCGCGGGTAGATTAGATTCTTTTTGACAGATATTTAAAATAATTTTTCTTTTACCGCACATTAGAATTTTTCCGCGATGGATGTACACAGTAGACCACTGTCTTTATTCTTCCGTGATTCTTAAAATATACACTTATGTTTCTTGTTTATTTATAACTCTGTTTTACCTACAATACTTTAATTTATAATTTTGTATTACTATTTGTGTTTCTTATTATGTTATTTCTTTTGTAAATATTGAGTGGTCGTAAACAACATGTTTATATATTGTGCGGTATGTTATTATATACCTAATTATGTTGTTTTGGTGACCCTTAACATGAATTGGCTACTTTTTTTTGTCATAAATATTTTTTCGTCTTTTCAATACAATAATAATATTCAAAAATAGATTTAAGTAATTTTCATTATTTTTATAACTAATTTTTACGACACATTATATTTAAGTATTTAATTTATAAATGGTGCCAGGATATGGCGGCGGCAGCTATAGCGTCGGCGAGCGAATGGAACGCGCGAACTAACGCGATGCGGCGCGGCGCGTGCGCGGACCTGCAGAGCCTCACCGTGCAGCGCGCGCGCGCCCCGCCCGCCGCGCCCGCGCGCCCGCATCTACGCCCGCCCGCCGGCTTCTACCCGCACGCACTCCTGCCCGGACAGTACCAACACTCGTATAGGGTCTACACACCTGATCAGCTACGGTAAGACAATGTTTACTCATCTTAATATCAAATTGGTCACTGTTGAATTATGTACCACATTAGTATATCGGATACATATAAGGAGGTGGTGAAAAAGGCCCTAAATGGTGTTGTTTTAAAAGTAACATTAATACAACAATCATGTCGGTTTTCGCAGGTACTTCCCATTGAACACAGTACTAGCGGCGCCGCCTGCTCCTCCATCAGAAGAATGGAGTTCTGAGTCAGAACCTGACTGGGGCTCAAGATTCTCGTCATCCGAGGATTCTGACGGCCCGACACATCATTCTGCTAAGGTATGTCATGGATTTGTAAACAAATAAGTGAAAATTCGATAATTACTGATTTTTCATTTTATCTTTGTTAACCTTTCACTATACATTTTCACGGAGTGGTGTCCTCATATAATAATGTTTGTTTATCTGACTTTTCGATTTCAGGTCATTAAGGTAACTCTATTACATTACTTCAAAACTTTCTTAGCAGAGACGTATCTGAAACGTATAGTCGTACAATAAAATGAGCATATTCAAACTAGATATGATACTCAATTAATTTTGGGTATCAACTGATCTACTTAAATGTTTTATGAAATTGGTGTCGTTGTGTGTGGTTACAGCGGAAGAAATTGACGAAGACAAAGCGCAGTAGCCAGGCAGAGACCCGTGAAGTGAAGGAGTCGCGGGAGCCGCGCGAGGAGACCCGGCCGGAGGACCTCTGTCGCGTCTGCAAGCTGCGCCTCGAGGCCAACCGGCGCTACACGCACGAACGGTTCCTCGTCTGCGCCAACTGCAACGCCAAGCGTACGTACTTTATATGTAAAGATCCAGCAGGATACCAGCATAAAACCATGATATTCTATCTTCATCGCCTTTTTAATAGCCCATGTCAGCCACTTGGTGTGCTGTGAGCCTCCTTTACATAATGGGGATATACTGATTCACACTTTACAAGCGGGATTAAGATCGCAGTATTACTTTATACTTCACTAGCTGTAATTTGGGAACATCATAAGTTTCAAAAGTGTAATGGAATGACAAAATCGAGAAGTATGGTAAAAAAGGGAAAGGGACGTAGCTGTGGGGTGAACCTTGACCTCAACTAGAATGGGTTTGACAACGCTTCATAATAATTGTTGTTTATAAACTACGCAGTGCACCCGTCCTGCCTGGAGCTGAGCGCGGACACGATCCGCAAGTGCCGCGACTACGCGTGGCAGTGTGCCGAGTGCAAGACTTGCTGCACGTGTCGCCAGCCTGCAGACGATGACAAGATGCTCTTCTGCGACCTCTGCGACCGCGGGTTCCACATCTACTGCGTCGGACTCGACACCGTGCCTAGCGGTATGTATACTAATATCCAGGCAATCTAGATCTCCAATCTCCCATCCCAAAAGGTCGCCAACGTTTTTGTACATAACTATGGCTTTGCAAGTATTAAGTAATCCCAAGGGAGGATTCCATAAATAAAACGAACAACATCAATACAATACCCCGCAAAAAGATATGTAAGCTAAATTGAGTCGAAACTAGTAGTTATGGACATGTTGTTTATAACGTTACGTTATCTTTGATAATTTACTCATTCTAAAGTGTACCTATTGAACTGTAAGTCCGTTAAATATTAATATTTCGACAGATATGTAACGTAATTCTATGAACCTGGTTTTAAATAAATTTTTCCACAAAAACAAACCGATTACAAACAAACAAGTTTTTAATTTGTACCGCAGTTCATTGCGAACAATGAATGAAATACTTATCTGTATTTTTCGGAAGTACGATAACAGTTATCTATTCGATTGTATCACGTGTTTGGGTAGCGTAATTTGTGTTTACTAACAACCTCATTTGCCGGTCATGTTGTTTATGTTAGACCGCGAAAAATATTGTTGCTGTTTAGCAAAACCGGTTTGTGCATTGTTGTATAAATATTTTTAACTGTCACAAGTTGGAATAAAGTTTAATTAAGCACTTGTTAAGTAATGTGAAAATACAATTATGACTAAATAATGTGGACTTTGCATAATACCAACTACCGACCTACTTACGTCCATTCATAATAAGAAAGTGAATCATTATTCATGTTACTTATTATGCACATACTATGGGTTTTTAGACCTACAAAAATGTGGAACCAGTATTGAAAAGTGGTTTAACATCATCCCCATCCTACATAACTAGAAGAAGGAAGGGTTAACATGATGTTTTGTTCCATAAAATAATAGTGATGAAAGTTTGCAATAACTATCATGTTGTTTAGTGTTTCATGACACTAAACTTGAATGTATCAATGTAAAATCTAGTTGTGTACGTATTACTTGAAGTTGTATCGTGTATTCCAGGTCGGTGGCACTGCGTAGAGTGTGCGATCTGCAAGTCGTGCGGGGCGCGGTCGCCGGGCGGCGCGGCGGGCGCCGGGCCCGGGCCCGCCAGCACGGAGCCCGCCGAGTGGCACCACCAGACGCGGCGCGGCCTGGGCGGACACAAGGTCTACTCGCACTCGCTCTGCACGCCCTGCGCCAGGTCAGTACCTCGTATACTCACACTCTACTCTCAAACAAAACTGGTTTTACTCTCACACCGATCATTGGCTCTGACCGTCAGACCATCAGCTTGAGCCGTTTAGTCGCACGCTGATTACTGCCAAGTACAGTCACTTGTTGTTTTTGAGTATTAACAAGTCACCACTTAGTCAAAAAAAACGAGAACCTAAAGAAATGCAATATGGTCATTCGTTTCTGATTTCAAAATTCGACGCCGACGCATGTTAGCATTAAACAATCATCCTGATTCAGAAATGTTTCTTTTAATTTTACATTTATTTCGATATGTCAGCGCTGATGTTCAGTGTGAGTGTAAAACTAGCCTAATATAACTCCCCATAACAACACACAGTCGATACAAAAGCACCATTGTTTTGAACCAATTTTCTTATTGGGCAAATTAAGTCCTAACTCTTAGGTTATGGTCATACTGACAGGTTATTTTAATTGGATGTAACTATGGAAGATGTGGTGGAAGGTCACTTACATAATTATAAAATCTTTGTAATATTCATATGTTTTGTGAAATAGACTAAATTAACCAAAGGATAACTAATGCTCCCGTAATGGTCTTGAGTTATTGTTTCTTTGATTCATAAGGCATTTATGGTTTATAAAAACTAGGTAAATCAACCTGTAAGTATGGCCAAAGGTTTCTTAGATAGATGTATCAAATCTGAATAAAAACATTTAAAAATGTTAGCAAACAAAATATCAGTACTCTACTACCACAATAAAAAGCCGACAGAAATAGGAACACCTTACAGATTTATATCAGTAATTTATTATTAAATTTAAGTATCCATTTAGTTTCATTTATATTATACCTTTCATCATCATAAATCGTATTTACTCAAATACAGACTTGATTCATCGTAATACCAGTTTACCAAAAGGATTGATATCCTTTATTATTTGGTAGATGGTGATTGATACCTATTCCTCAGTAGACATTTTATACATTTATCATCCAGAATACATGTAGTACAAATATCATGGAGTAGTTTTGGTCAGTCATTGGATATTACCATGATATTGAATCTAATTCATTGCTATTATCGCTGCATAGTACCTTTTACTGAAGAACTAAGTGAGGTTTATGTTTAAAAAGTATTGTAGGTAGGATTAATTGCCTTGTTATCAATGTATCAAAATTAATAACATATTTCAATTGGCAACTATAGTTAGGTTAGGTCTACTGTTAATGAAGATAACAGAAATTAACAATAATTCAATATTATTTTTCAAGTAACACCAAGAGGGTGGCCAACAAAACCTGAGTTTCCCAAAGGAAGAATATATATCGAGGGATGCTGATACAAAGTACAAAGTTTAATAACAAAATCATTAAACGATTTCTATGTGTATATGTTTACGTATTAATTGGTCTTGGTAGTTGATGTGTTTTCACGTCATTTCATGCGTGTTTATGTGGAGTAACACGAGCTGGTCATAGTGTCGTCTCTCGTCCGCCTTCACTCTGTCGACATCCGCTTTGTCTCTGGTACTGTAGCATTGTGGCCCCGCAGAATGTTTACTTTGCCCCAACGCAGCGTTCTTACTCAGCACATCCCAGTACCGTATAAGTTGCATGCCATCCCCATAGACATAAGTTTATTATTTATGCATATTTGAAGAATGTTTGTTGATTGTTATAATCTATTAATCATTTCTTTAACTTTGTATATTTATTGTATTAAAGTCTAATCATTTACGAGCAAACAGTCTTCACAGAAAGAACAGCAAAGTGGACCTTATGCGAAGCACCGCCAATTGGTATGAGGGGATCACTTTGTATAGCACTGTCTTTATACAAAGTTGCTTATTGCAAACACAATTCTGACAGTGGGAACAAAATTCTGGGCTTTGTGGAATTGAGAATACTGCCAACTTTACTGTTCCTCCTACTTTTATTGATTATTTTAATACTTTCATTTGTTCCATAATTGATGCAATACACTTAGGTAGCTAATAACTTTTGTCTTTTTGTATTATCGTTGTGTTGATGGTTGTACTGCGTCAATTAGCCTTGTATCATCAATGACAATGGGTGTCGACATCTCACCAGTCATCCTGCAGTCGGCTGCGACTAACTCCATCCATTCTGTTAACTAACAAGGGCGTAGTACCATCAGTCTCCCCACTGCGTTCACTAACTCGACTCTATGCTTGTTGCTCGTCTTCGGACTCCGGTCGATACTCTATACACATGGGACACGTAAATATATGTTTTTATTATTTGTAGCTAGTCGTTCAATTTTAATGTTTGTTATATTTTATGTTTTTATTTAGTAAATTAGTGTTTTTCAATGTTTACGACTTTTACTCTCAATGTGTATTGTATGGCATTTGGCGGAAGCACTTGCAAATTAGTGTTTGAGATCAATTTAAAAATATCGCCAGTTCCGAGCTGTCGTGTTACTGATCGATGATAACTCTTAGTACCGTGTGCCGTTACTGTACCGTGTAATGTAACTGAACGAACGCTAGAAGAGAGTCACTCGAGGACAAGCAACAATCCGTATGAATGAAGCGAGACCGTCCACTCGGCGCGGGGTTTCGGTGTTAATACTAATGGCGTGTTTCTGTGTTCCGGTGCTTGTGCGCGTACGGTCCGTATGTGTGTGTGCGTGCGTAGGGCGTATCGCATCGGTCGCTACTGCCCGCTCTGCGAGCGCTCCTTCATCGGCCCGAAGGGGACCATGCAGCTCGTCATATGTAAGCTCTGCGATAGGCAACTGCATCAAGGTACGTCAGACCCACCGACACGTGTAGACGCATTCGCTTGCCCGCCCGCTACTCCGGTTAGACATGTTATCTAGACTGCATGATACCTATGTAAGCCTATTCTCGTTTTCTGAGTCCGTGCACGGGTCCAAACCAAGTTCAACCGTAGATACCCTTACCAGTACCCTTAACTTGTAACTATCGCTTCATAATGAGGTCTGGAAGTATTAGTACAGTTTAGCTTCGTTCGGGCCAATATGGAGCTCATAAAACGGAAATAACCTTACGTAAACATAAGTTTATTGGTTGCCCTATATTTTCGTGGGGTATATTGCCTGGTCTAAAGATATTTGATAGATTATAGATATTGTTCGCATGTCTAACCAAGGGCGGTTTTCTGAAAGTGAGGAAACATATTTTATGTTCATTGTCCGAAAACCGCTTTTAGTCGAGCGCATGTTTATTACTGTTGATGTGTGAATGCGCTGTGCATGACCTAGTACTTAGGTACGTAAAACATGTTATACTCACAAGCTTTACTCAATCCTTCATTTTTGTCATGATACATAGTTTCGTTTCCATAGACATTATGTAGCCTTATAGTATGTATATTTATGCTTGTTTCCATATTATATAGCTATACCCTATATTATCCTATTTGTGCTACCTATTATGATTGCCTACAGAACAACTTGTACAATATATCCTGATATATACGTAACAATACGGTTCGCCGTCCAATACAATAAACTTACGACATATTATATACCGATAGGGAGCTTTTGTTTTTGTTAGATGTGATTAGATGACAACGTATAGGTGAACGCATGATGTATAATACACAGTAAGCAATGATCTGCCTAAATTAGAACATAGCTGAAAATATATTGGGTCGCAGAACACGAAGGGTTTATCGAATTTTGCCGAATTGTGTGTGCCATGCATTGTCGTGTACTAGGTGTAGGTAAAGGCTCGATTGAGTCACCGGCATGGGGATGAAAGGGAAATATATTATGGCGTAGGTATGTATTCAACGTACTAAGTACAACTCTGCTACTATGTATACTGTGCCTCATTGTGCTGACCGCCTATGTACTTATTGTGCTCAGTTGCATTTGAATAAAAGGTTCATGTAGTTTATGAACCGACCATTCATTATAATGAATGCGTATTGTAAAAAAGTATTGTTTGTGTTTTACATTAGTATACGACGTTGTCTGACACGATGACACAATGAAACAATGGCGGTCAGACGGTCCCGGAGCCTCCGTACATATTTAGGTGACCAACGTGTCCGACTAAATTAATATTTTCTCTTTGATTTTCCTATGAAATTCGCACGACTTCGTACTGTCATTTTTCTTCTAATTTTCTGTTTACCTGCATTGGAAGCAGTACTGGGTTTTCAGTCGGATACGCATGAATGTTATGCATAGAACGATTACCGTTGTCCTTTTTGTTATTCTCAAGAGTTAATACAGCACTATCTAGCTATGATTCAAAAACTATCATTCCAATCCTAAAATTTCTAAGTGAAAACGAATGTTTTTTCTGCCACCAAGTATTGGTTATTTCATTAAATTCTTTTATCGGGCACACGACGCTACGAAGGCTCCGGTGAAACGATATAGCCAGTGGTGGTTTGTGACGTTGGCGATGTTCCCGGCAGATTGCGTTAGACAGACGGTGTCTAATCTGAACGTGTTGGACTACACGTGCGCGGAGTGCCGGCGGACGGGCATCACGTCGCGCGCCGCGGCCGTGCGCCTGGCGCCGCGCACCATCGCCACGCTGTTCATGGCCAAGCGACGCTTCAACAAGTACGCGCACCGACAATACCTGGCCAGCCGCCGGCGCCAGGCCGAGGAGGCGCGGCTCGAGGCGGGCGACGACTCCGTGGACGCGGCCGAGGGAGGGGACGCGGAGCCGCTGCGCGTGGAGCTCCGCGACGACATGTCGGAGGGGTCGGACGCGGCGCCCGACCTGGCCGACACCAGCGACCCGCTCGACGCCACGCCCGACGCCTGAACTCTCCGCGTGCGCGAGTGAAGCGGTGGACTGTATACAAACTGACGTGTAATATATATGTAGCTGTTCTTAGTTCATATGTAACTCTTATTCGCTTCGGTACTACGGTTGTAAGGTAAACTGTTACATAAATCTGATTAATATAACGATTAACCGGTAGGCTATGTACGAGTAAGTTGTCGGATAGTGAAGAGATACTAGGTGTATTGTCTCTTTGTGTTATCGCTGCGTTTTATTTTCTATACGCTGAGATGTTTGCAAGTACGATCCGGAAGGAGCCGGCGCTGAAATATTATGTATATTATTATATCCCTAGTGGGAGTTAGACGGTTTGATTTAACAGATGATAAAGATCATAAAAGTGGTTAGATAGATAGCTGTAGATCGCAGGACTCTTAACATTAAAACTGTACAGTAATTTAATACTAACTTCACTATATGGGTAGCTGGGCAATCATACTATTTTTAATATCATAGAGTTGAGTTAAAGTATCCTGCAAGACAAATCATGTATCTTATTGTGTATTCGTCCACAATTGGTTCTGTTGGAGGTGATTAGATTACGAGATATTGTGTAGTTGTGCTGTTATTACTTTACGACGGATGATTTAGTTGCATTGTGTCGCATCATGTTCGTTTATATGTGTGAACTCTATATTAGAACTGCAGACGGACATGGTACATTTTGTCATTTACGAATTAGTTCTCAGGAATACAAATTAAAATAAATGCATACAATAGAAATCTGCCTTTTAATGCATTTTTTAATTTTGTTTCTAAATTGTTTTTGTTGTCACTGCTGTTGATGAATCGGTCCACATACTATTGAAGACAGTGCGCATTTTGTTTATTTTTTATATAGTATAATTTTTAGATTATCGTTAATTTCGCTTAATAAGGTATTTATTTTAGTTGTACTTTTATATGGATACAGCTGTATACAATCTTATGTCCCAGATAATATTCGCGGAGGATTGTTATATGAACGTAGGGAATTTATATAAATTCATCAGGTTTGGATAGTTATGATTGATTCTGTTTGCCTGTAATGAATTTTATTTATGAATCGTTTGGGTATGATTAAGAATATGTTTCCCCCTAATACGCACTTTATGAAAGTTGTTGATTAATTACACTAGATTATTTTATAAGATTTTTATCGTTTCTGTAGTTTAATTATTGTACGAATCAAATTCAGCAGCTCTTCTTTCAAATAACATTTATTGTTTTCCTTACTTAATTTCAAAGTACAAAACATAGGCTACCTTTATGTACTATTTACTAGCACTCGTTCTGGAAGGCAATATGAACCCAATGAATAAATAATTATAGTTTTATAGAAAGATCAAATAAATTATTTAATTCAGAGTATAGTATGTTTATTTTCATTATGAGAAAATTATTTATTTATACCTATGGTTACAAAGATAGTATTATAGCAGATTTGGGTGGTATTTATTTCCAGGGCGAATCCGGGAATGATTAGTTGGACCCTCTGGGCAGTAGTCCCTGCAGCCACTGGTATTCGTTTTCGGTATACGTAACATTCGATTCAACAACGTGTATGCATTTGCTGTACTTACGATATAATCTCTGCGCGCTATCGTCTTTTTAACCACTGCTGTGTGCAATTATCCCCCATAATGTTGTGTATTATATCATGTATTAGAATTATATTGTGTAAGTGCAGGTGACGACCTTAGTAACTTCATTGAATACTGACACTAATGTATCAATGTTTTAGTTTATAATTATGCTTTGGTTAATATTAATCATAATTTACTTATTAGTGATGACTTTTAAGATAAAATTGATGTCCTCGAAATCATGATAATATAAACCTTTTATACAATATACACAACTGACCCCGGTGTTACTCACACCGTAATTCGCATTGCTTTATCGACACAGGTGAATTTGTAAGACTTACTTGTAAGAGAATAATGATAACTTTATGTCTACTTAATGCAAGTGTAAACGTTCTAGAAATCTCGCACTGTTCGGTCAATTTTTGTAAAAAAAGATAAATAAATTTTGATTTGAACTTTTGTTTTTCTTTTTTATTTTCACGGCAATGCAAGTTTTGTCTGTTGATGGAATAAAACACAAATGCAATAAAAAATAATGTATATATAATTTGACTTATAGTATGGTAAACTCGGTAGCATAATTAACAAAATTTTATAAACACTGAAAATATTCAGCAAATATATTTTATAAACTGGCAATAAAGCATCTGTATCCTTATATTTCGATGAAACCTGGGGACAAGAAGAATGTATCACGTTAGTATAACGATACCTGTAACAGTAATAGATGTTGACATTAGATAGACATACATTTGTAGTAAAACTACTTTTCATAGATTATTTGGCGTAATTGACATCCTGCAATGAAAATAAAATCAATACCTTTACACAACAATTGAATATTAGGTACTGTGCACGAAATCGAAAATTTTTTTTAAACATCTGCACATTCAAAATATACGCAAAATAGTCCTAGACAAAGTAGTTTTGCTTTAAAACCTAAGATATAGACGGACATTGAGTTAGTAGTAGCGGTGACATGGTCACTCGTCGAGTCGCAGGCCGCTGATGGAGAGGAAGGTGAATGCGTTGTGCAGCGCCAGCACCGGCACCGCCGTCACGGCCGCGCGCTGCCGCGACCGCCCGCGCACCGCCCGCACCGCGCGCGACAGCACCGCCGGGCCCGGCGCACTCCACACCTGCCGACCAACGGGGCTTTCTGACTATCTACATGGTACATAATTCTTTTATAAACTACGTTTAAAATAACTGACTTCAACCCCGTCTTTTTGAAGTCTGTTAATTAATATACTAAAACCAAGTGTAACAAAACAAACACTTTTCTGAAAATCGTATAAAAATCGGTTCAGCCAATCGCATACATACATACATGAGATGAGAACTTCCTTTTTTCTTTTTGAAGTCTGTTAAAAACGATATCTTTAGAAAAAAAGAAAAAATGAATAATCAATCTTTATTCAAAATCTTGGAAGAATGTTTGAAGATTCTGTCAAAAACAAAAATCGGTCTTGAGATTAATTTCAGCAGTAGTAAGCTTTATGACAATACATCTTACAATTACGTTTTTAAACTTTAACGGTTTCAAATTTTATTTTGCTTCAACTTAAAAGATAATTGCTGTCCGAAAAATGATTTTTTCGCAATCTCCAATTTCCTTAAATTAAAGTTCCTTAAATACGTTTAACTGACAAATATCAACATCGAGAGATTATAATGTTACCTGATAAAATATCCTCATCTTGACAGCGTGTTGAGTTTCCACATCCCTGTCTTGTGTGAGCTTACGGAGCGCATATTCGAGCACTTCTTCAATTTGTTCCTGCGTCATACTGGACGCTCGCATGCGGTGCGTCGTGCAAACTTCCTCGCTCGGGAATGACAGCTGGCAAGTTGATGGCGAAGAACCTAAATGATAAAAATAATGCTTTTATGAGCTAATGTGACCGAGGTACCTATGTAAATAAGTCAGACTTGATCATGTAAAACTTAGGGTGAAATTCCTAAAGAGAGTGCAGGCAAATCATTATCTCCTGCTATCCCTGTCTCTTGAATTCTAATCCAACTAGTGATCTGTTTGCGGACGGATGGAAGGTGATTTTAACAGAATACCTGAAGTACTGCGAGAAAAAACTGATAAATGCTGTTAACTCCTGTTTTAATTAAGTTTTACTTTTTGTTTTCTTGATGTGTAAAGTTTGTTTTGTACTAGTTATAATTTCATCTTTTTTTGTTGTAAATATGTCAGTTACTGTAAATGGTATTCTACCGTTGTGACAGTTTAAAACAAAATAAATTAAATTAATAAAATCCCTGTCAGTGATATCTAGGGCATTCACTATGTATGTTGCAAAAATGGACTTTAGCGAGCTTACTGAGTACTGAGCGACTATAGTGGGTACAACGACCTCGAGTACATGAATGTGTATATCGACCAAAAACATCTTGTATAGCTAAGCTAGTGGTGAGTCTCTCCAATTATAATAATTATACCTGTAATATTCTATCGGTGAGTACATACCTGTAGCAACATAACAAACAAAAGCGGCGACAGTGTTCTCGTAGTTCCACCTCCTCGTGATTGCAACTTTGTAATCGCCCACATTGCAACCAGTCTCCTCATCTGTAATGCAAATAATAACTTAATAATAGTTTACCTTTTAAGATATCTGAGGATTATTGTTATTGTCTCTACAAATATAAATGAAGCTGATATGACGCTCATTGTGGACAAATAATATCCATAGAAGAAGGGTGATTTTTGTTTAAATTTATACAGGTTCAGTGTATATTGTAAAGAGACACGAGATTCATAAGGTAAGTTGGAAACATTTGATAGTTTTTGCTTATTACTAATTTGGTAGCTATGAAGATTAATCTATGAGTTTTGATGTTTGATCATTTCCTCTAAAAGACTATAAACAGAAGATAGGTATGAAGATGTTTTCATAGTTTGTAACGCATTTGTGATGCCTTCGGCGTTGCAGGTTAAGATAAGTCCTTACCATTAGATATCCCATAAACGTTATTAGCAGTAATGATAAATAAGTTGTACTCTTACACTCAAACCGGTTGTTGTCAGTATGCGCCCAGGCGTGCCACTCGACGAGCGCGTGTCGCGGCAGGGCCTGCACGACGGCGTACTGCACGATGGCGCCCGCCGTGCGCCGCTCCAACTGGCGCCGCGCCTCGCCCACCGCGCCGCCCGCGCATACGTAGCATACACTCTGCGGTGCCATTATATGGAACTCTTTGTATTGTGTCATACTCTATACTCTCAATTATTCATCTAAGAACGACCTTCACTGGTCTAATAAGGTGGTATAAAGTGAAAATTATATTGTAAACATGTACCAATAGGCTAAAACAAAGTTAGTGGCTAGTTACTGTAGCTTGTTTAGCTTGCTGTCTTAGTTATATTACAAAATATTTTTTAAAGTTGTGTAACAGGCAGACATCCCCATAAGACACACGTCACAAGAACTATAATCATACTGACAAATCACTTGTCAAGACTTCAGAAATAATTACGTTTAAGTTGTTGCTTACTGTGAAGATTACCTCGTTGGTCGCAAGTGCGACTGCCAGGTAAGGGGTATAACTCGGTTTTAAAAAAAAATCTCAGTAGTAGCACGGAGTCTGGAATTGTGTCCGGTATATAGTAAGAGGTTCACCTTTAATTACATGGGACTCATAACATAAATAGTGAAAAGTGGGTGTTACATTGTACAGTGGCATTAAGTGCCATAATGTGCACCTCTAAGTACAACTTCGGGGATAGAAGGCGTGATGTTATGCCGTACCTGCACGACGCTCCGTATGTGGGCCCGCGGATGCAGCGCGCGCAGTACCCGCGTGAGGTGCCGCAGGGACAGTGCGCTCTGTGCGCGCGCGCCGCCGCCCGCCAGCGCCAGCGTGCCCGGCACCAGCGCGATCTGCCCGCACGTACCCATCACTTCCCCCACCTGGGACACAACGTATATAGTATTTATTTTATACACATCTGGAATAATTCCTTCTGTTTCTTTAAGTTTTATGAGAACATCAATTTAATTACGTAGACAAAGGCTGAACGAACTAATCTGATTGAAATAGACTAGAGCAGGCTAATGTAAGTATTTAAATCGATTTAACTTTCATTTACTTCTTTAACTCATACTAAGAAATTTATTAAAAAGTTGTATTTTAAATGATGTATGTAAGATCTCCAACATTGTAAGGATCTACGGGCCCCTCTCTTCCTGAATTTAAGACTTTAATTTCTGGTTCGAAAAACCCTAAGTAAAAGCACAGTATCTTCTTTTTTCAGTGAACAAAATGGATAGTGTTGTATAATAGAAAAAATTACTTTAACAGCCTGACTGTATGGTCCGATGTTGGCTGGTGCCCAGTGCGATATTCCCTGCACATGCATAGTGACGCGCTCCTTCGTGACAGCGCCGTCCACGTCATGTGTGTTGTTGTATGTAGACTTGTGAGCCACCTGGGAGCAGATTTATGTAAATCAATCTAATTGATTTCTTGCTATTTCTGTCAAAAACCTAGATTAATCAAGGATTAAGATTATTTTTTTATTTCACCCGGTAAATTAATGTTTGCAGTGTTATATACCTAACTGAATAAAAACACAAGGAAGCAACTCTTCGTAATATACCGCTGTTATCTAAGAAACGGTATAACCTTTCTCCAGACCTTTAGAATTTAGTATTGGACCTCTATTAACCAAAGACAACATTAGTTTAGTCCCAGGACTAACTTAATCTTCTCTTTGTCCTGGCACATTTTATTCACAGCTAGCTCAGCTATGCTATTGCTAGCTAATGTATATTTCTTTCTGATTAAGACTGTCCATCCAAATATTAGTTCATATTTTTAAAGAATTTGAACTTATACACCCGTGAACCAATTTCTTATCAGTTTATAAACACTTTACTTTGTCATGTTACATATTATCAAGTTTTCATCAATTACACAATGCGGTAGTTTTATCAGTGTTCTTCATTTTAGTACAATGTAATAATCACTATCAGATTGTGTTATGTATTATTATTGTAGGCATACACACGTGTATCTTAGAATAAAAGGTAAATTGTGTGCAGTGACGTCGCATTTTGTTTTGGTAATGCGATTAAACGTTGTATGTAGTACTGCATTTTAATAAAAGTATGGTAAACTTTAGCAGCTTAAATTATGTTTATAGACTTAATCTTTGCTAATATTTTGTTAGTCTTTCTTGCACGTCACAACCACAACAGAGCGTTATGGTATCACTTTTGTGTCTGAAGATAGTTATATGGTGGGAAAGTGACATCGCTGGGCTACTTTTTTCCTATGACTACACCTGACGGTGGCACAAGCAGTAATCTATTTTTCTTGTAAGTTAATGCTTGTTCATCAAAACATCTAATGATTGCTTTATGCTATATGCTTTCCGACACATGTTGAGGACCCTACAAATCCGGCCAGTCTATAAACTTTTCTCTGTGGATAACATAAGGTTGAATTTAACTTACAGCGTCAAATATGAGCCCTACGTCTGCAGGTAAAGGGCATTGCACGCACACACGAGTTGGTGGATTGGGAAAGTTAAACGTTTGAACGTAGACTTCGTTCAAAGCGGCATATTCTTCCATGTCCCTCATATAGATGTTCACTGAACATACGTCGTTGAGACGCAGTGACTCGGACTCCAGCAAGCCTGAAATGTGGTAAAGCATAAATTATATGGTACTTAGAATAATAATAATAATAATTTTTAGAACAAAAATGATAGTTTTAAGGTAAAATTAAATCAAACAAGAAAAATAACGCTCGTGCACAAGTTTACCTACTAATGAGTTTTTTCATAGCGTCCTCGGTGGCGACCCTGGTATCCACGCCCTCGCCGACAATACCACCGATGAAGTACCACCCATGCTTGTTACCGTATATACTTCTGTGGTCATGTATAGGCTGACTCTCGTGCTTTCTATGAGCCTGCTCGTACGTATACCCGCCGGTCTCCGCTATACTATCCGGCTCGTCATTCCCATAGTCCACTTCAACACCAGTTACCTTATCACCAGAATAAGTGAGCAATGGATTCAGTTCATTCTGCTTCTTCTTCTCCTCCTTCTCTAACTTCTCTATAGACTCTAGCTCCGTCTCGCTCAGTTCAATATCGCTTACATCGCTAAACACAGAATCGCTTAAATCGTTTATAAAATCTAATGGGTTCTTAACAGTTGGAGGTAGTTTTATTGCTTCATCAAAGTTTTCTTTTGGCGCTAAATGTAGTTTTAAGTTTAGGTAGCCGACTGGAGCGACTGGGTCGTCCGAGTGTAACACCAATTCCTTTTCATCTCTGTTGGAACAAAGAAAAGCCCAAATTACTAAAATATGTAAAAAATATGGTTATATTTGAGAGTTTTGTGAAAAGAAAAAAAAATAAAATAAATACAAATCCGAAAATTTTTAATTCGTAACAACTTTTACAATGGACCAATACTGTCCAAAACTGAACCCAGATCATCGATAATATAATTTAAACAAGAGGCCTATTACTGGCTATTACTATTAAGTCTACAAGCTACGCCAACTGCGCATATTCTTCAGTTAAGAAGTCGTCAATAAAGTATGTTGTTTATTGGAACAAAGTCACAGTAAAGTAAATATGCTAGTTGATAGGCATGTTTACAGCTTCAAAGCTACGAATGGCATTTTTAAATATTGTTATTGTTGATACTTTAATCTTTATTGTAATAGACGCAAGGTAGTAAATAAAAAACTTGGTCAGACGAAACAAGGAAGTAATCATAACACTCCGCCTGGTATTCCCCCAAGGGATACGTAGAAGTGTTCTACAATACACCCACTGTGTTATTATATATTGTAATATAGAAAGTTCCATACAGTTTTACACTTGGTACATACTAGGTAATTCTGAGAAAACTAGGGAGGAAAAATATAAAGGAAAGTCTAAACACAGTTGGCGCGGTGGCTGGGCAACTGGCTGCCGCGCAACGTGTCTAGAGTTCGATTACCGCACGGAACAACTCTTTGTGCGATCCACAGATTGTTGTTCCGGGTCTGGGTTGCACGTGTATGTGAACTTACTCACGACACAGGAGAAAATCCTAGTTGAACTGATTAAAAGAGTGGAAATAAAAATGTAGGTAATATTTAAATAATTATTTCGACAAAACGTTCTTTATCATTTTGTAATCCGACGTCAATAACCGAGATAATAAGCTCTTGGAAACAATCATCTAACTTACATATGATAGATACTAGTGGAGGTACAGTACAATACACAAATTGAGTTCACAAACTTGAAAAAATGTACCTATTAGTAACATAGGAGCAAAATTACAATCGATATAAACATGTAACTATTCTATAAGCATTATGTGGAAGTAGTAAAAAAACTAAATTCATTTTATCTAGTTCCAAAATATGTGTACGTTAAGCATCAACCCTATGCTCGGAACTCGGAAATCCATGAGTACCTCGAAATGCCAACCAACCTCGACGAAGCAAAGCGCTACACTGAAACTACAAAGAACGTTTAACAACCCACCCTAACCCGCAATATAGCTCTTGCACCCTAACCAGATTTAAAGACCCAAGAGGGCAAACATGCTGCCTTAATATGGGGACAATGCGCAATGGCTCTTCCTCACCTAACCTTATTCACCTGCTTATAGTTTAAACGACTGAACAAAAGTTTATATACATAAAAGTAACAACACCAGTCTATGTCAATAAAAAGAAATCAAGATCTAAGATAAATTCTTCTACCGATAAAAAATCTTCGACTTATTGGCGTTTGCAATGAATGTGTTAAATAAATAAATGTTTAAAAGATTGTAAGTAACTTTTCTCGCTTAATGTACTAATTGTCACAAGTGTATTACATGATCGATAACAGAGTACATCACTTATTGATTACAGCCTAAGCTCATCAAATAAGGTCCACAGATAACATTTATTATGATAAATCTGTATTTATGAGAAAGATAAAACGAGTTTTATTACATTTCATAGATGTTGTTTATAAAAACTCGATTCATAGTAACATGTTTTACGCGGAATGCTTTGCAGCTTTCTGGATGTTTACGACTTTAATTTATGGCTTATGTTTAACTTACCACCAGATATAGTAACATATAACAGACAAGTTTGGTAATTATTATTACGTATACGTACTATGAGTATGATTTCACAGATGAATCGAAGCGTGATTTTTCAAGATTAACATATTTAATGACGAATATGCGGAAAAAAATTTCACTTGAACAATACCTAGCAGATTCGTGCAATCATGATTAAATCTAAGCCTAGTATTATGGAACTCAATTCAACTCAACTCAAGCGGAGATTTGTGCTAAAGCATAGTTAGAAAGGGATGCAAAATTGCACATATCTGTTGAATGTATTTGCATCCCTTTTTAACTGTGCCTACTTGACAGGAGATCTCTGCTTGAGAATCGGTAGTATAATAATAAATATAAGTTATGCTGGCCTAAATTTATACCTGAGTACCTTATGTTTGACGATTACGTTTGTATACAGATCCCTAAAAAATCTGAATAAGTAAATAATTATGAACATACTCACATAACTAATTTCTTCTTAAACAAGGGACAGTCTAGGGTGAAGGTTTCGTACTCGCCGCCCTCCCCGCACACGTTGAGCCCGTACTTCTCCTGCATGACTAGAAGATGGGGTTGTATGTCGCGGAGAGACATGCCCAAGTGTATTCGAGGGTCCAAACCGAGGGCTGCCACCTGTATGAACATCAATATTATCAGTTTTTTTTTTGAGGGGGAAAATCATCCAATGACTTCTTCCGCCTTGGGTTAGGCGAGAGAGAGAGTGTCAGACTCTTACTGACTAAAAACCACCCCGTTCCTACTCCTGCACTTCAAGCCGGAGCCCCAGCAACCCGTTAGGTCTGCAGCTGGAAGTGTACATGAAATTATTTGGACGTAAGTTCATCCTAGACAGGAGGAAACTCTAGTACGGGGTCCGATTTTGTTTTAAAAGAAGTCTTCTTTTCGTCCAAACGCGACGTGTCAAAATTCTATCCCTAGTAACAAAAACTACCGAACAGAAAATCTTGATTTGGTTAATAATAGTTGGGTGTCCAGTTTTTGTCAATACGACCAAACATTTAGTATTCCGATTCAGACTTAAGAGGTATTCAGAAACTATTACTCTTGCTAACTACTGGGCAGTCGGCCAGTTGCCATAAATTCACCATTAAAATCGATTCGTTATGTCGACAGTCCCATGAAGTTCGGAATTAGCTAGTAAAGCATTCTAAATGCTAACTAACATTACAAATGATCGTTGAACATAGATGTACGGATAACACTCAACCGATTTTCATTAGTATACATACTGTAGACGTTGTGTACTTATATTACATAATCGTTACTAATGATAAGTAGAGTATTTGTTTGTCTTTTACTTCGCAACACACCATTTCTATGGTAGGTACCTATGTTTTTTGTTCTGAAGATAGGAGCTTGTAGAACATTTGTCACAATTTTTTACCTTTGCCTTGAGAGCTGGTACATAAATGTCGTATAGAATAGAATTAAACGAATTTCCTCGCAAAAATAAGATTCAAGGGAAAGAATTTGAAGGCGAGATAATTACTGAAACTTATGTAGGTGTATTGTTGTGTGTAAACAGTTTATTTGGCACTAAACGAGACAGTTAATGGACGCCTAACATCGTGTCACCAACAACACACTGATTGATCAACGTCAAATGTATAAAATAAAATTAACATTGACGAATGACGTACGACTTCGTGTTTAGAAAAGTTATTTTTGACAAAACAATGAGGGTTTTTGCTTCACCAATAGTTACTAGAGGGGCGCTAGTATAGCTTATGGTCAATTGACCAATAAATTTGCTGATGTCAAGTCATCATTTTGGACAGCTAAGGTGATTGGATAAATAAGACCTTACGTCTCAGTAGTGTAGCAATCCCTAGTCTATCTATTACTCAAAGAAACATGTATTTGCAAATGTAATTTTAGACTACTAACATAATTATTCTCTAAATTCATCATCATCATCATCAACAGCCTATAAATGCCCACTGCTGAGCAAAGCCTCTTCTCACACGGAGAAGGTTAGAGCATTAATCACCACGCTAGCTCAATGCGGGTTGGCGATTTCGAACTTATAATTAGAAATTATAAGTCCAGGTTTCCTCACGATGTTTTTCCTTCACCGTTTGTCAGTGGTGTCTAAATAATCTTAGAAAGTACATATAACTCGGAAAAAGTCACATTGGTACTTGCCGTTGGTAGGTTTCGAACCCACACCCTCATGCATGAGAAGTGGGCGTCTTAAACCTCTGGGCCACCACGACTAGACTTCTCTAAATTATAAGTTCTAAATGCATGTAGTTTCAACATCAGGTTAGACACTCAATAAAACTCAGCCTTCATTTAAAAGATTGACCGTATGTAGGTACTATTTGCCCACTTTATCTGGAAGATGCGTTCGTTGCATATCATTCTTCCTCCATACTGATATGGTAAAGGGTAATGACATTATACAAGTAGATGATTACGGCTCAATTCATAAGACATTTTCTATAATAAAATGCTGAAGAATACTACGCTAATGATGTTGTATGACGTAATATTAGAGAGACCGACGAACTAAGGCAGAAAATTGCACGTATTCTCCTCACTTCACACCCAACAACGAATATATCTAATTATCTACGTCACTTATACCTTGTTCGCACTATGCTAGTATTTTAGTTAAGTAGTATTTATTAACTCTCTCTCGCTTCGATTTTGGGACAGAAGCGAGAGGGATATACTAAAGACTCGCTGCTCGACTAAAATACTAGCATAGTGCGAACAAGGCATTAAAGGCCTGCGAGATTTTTCTTGCGTGTATTATTTTACTCAATGTTCAATTCTTTATTGCTTTTCGACAAGTGACAATTATCGACCCTGTTGGGCACAGCAACATACCCTAAAATAGGATTTTACTGTTTGAACATTGAAACATTTTGTTTGTAGGGAATATTTGCCGAAACTACAGGACTAATATGAAAAACTCTTTCGCCATTTGAAATCTTACTTTTCAGGACATAACATAGGCTACTTTTATCCTGATCTCTTACATAGCATTCGAGAGCAATCTTGTAAATTCCCTACAGGCAAAGCCGTTGGCAAAAAGCTGTTTTAAACAAACAAATATTACGTAGGTACCCGCACTACTTCCTGTGATAAATTAGAGACATGATAATAATAAAAATACAGTTTAGTGCTATTAACGCGTCGGTGCTATGTGCCTACCTAATAACGACTTCACAGTGAATTGATCAATCGATTATATCTACATTATTGATTCAGATTCTGATGTTAGTAGGTAGATAGACTAGCTTGATGGCAAGCAGATGATATGAAATTGTTTTTTAATTGGAACTCAGAATGACTATATTAATGGGTCTTGTGATGAATAACTACTGACATTTAGACTAAATGTTTCTTTATGAAATAGCGGGCAAACTTGCAGTTATCAGAGATGGTAGGTGGACGTGGATAGCATTGGTCTTATCCATTAATAACACAAGAGGAATAACAAATGTGTTGCGAATTTTTAGAGGAACGATACTGACCTTAATGATGATAGCTTCGACGCCGCTTGCTATCATCTCCTGCAGCAATTCCTTTTGGTTCCGCCTCCATAAGTACGCAAGCGAGACTAGACCTAATCGGTGACATCTAAAAACAAAGGAGTACTTATTAGTTCAGTTTAGTTATACCTTCTTGTAAAAGTGCTAATAACTCGACATGAAAAAGTGCTTACAACAATGAGCTATAAACAGAAGTGGTTTACACAGAAAATAAATGTTGTCAGTGGGGTTTAAGTTATTACACTATGCCTGAAAACAAAACACTTACAAAATAGAATGTTCAAAATCGGACTTTATTTCAAATTTCCTAAGGACCATAATAAGTGCTTCTACAAACTCTATGTATTTTCAAAGCTTATTATAAAGTCTAAATTCAATTTCTATATGCTCTCCTTTAATAAGTACTTTAGCAATTTAACTATTTTTAATACACTAATGACTCAAAAAACTATATTATTAAACCGTAATCGTGCAACTGTTAAATATTCAAGAGAAACTACGTACTAGCTTCTAGAACGGGTGTAATTAAGTGATCTTGCTATAAATTGTCGGAGAAGTAGAATTAAAACAATTATACGCACGCGAACTTGAACTAAAAGTTCATTAAAATAAAGTGCTTACTCCAACAAAAACTATAGAAAGCTAGGTCGGATGACGCGTAAATATTTTTGTAATATAAAACATTTCAATGGATATTTACAGGTATAATCACTATGTAGGTTTGTTAGCTTAATGAAATTAAAAACGCAAAATAAAATAATCTTACGCAGATAATCCGCGGTCAATCCCAATAACGACGGAAAATATTTAAAAAAAAAGAAAAAATGTAATTATTCATGATCTGACTTCCTTATTCTTAAATGACATAAACATGTATTTAAAAGATGTAATATTGTGGTGGACACCGACCTCGGAACTTTACATAAATAAGCCAGTATTAGGTATCTTGTATTAACATTGTAACATATCTCGATAATTTGAATGCAAATCTATAAACATTAGCAATTAAATAGTACCAACTTTACTCAGTTCCAAAGTCCATAACATCACACAAAGAAACAAATTATTTATGTTGTACAGTACAATGAATACTAACTCTAATTACATGACGCATAGAGCATATTTTGTGTATTCAGATGTAAGATATGTAAGGAAGGAAACATGATTCCTACCTCTTGGAAAGTCATATTTTTATTAGAAAAACTGATTTCATCATATCATTATTCATTACTATGTTGTTAGTCATGTAATAGTGACTCCCAAATTTTATTTACTTATATAACCTAACATTACACCATTTAATTCGTCAAAGGGGTAGGCAGGGATGTCTCACTGCACAATGATAAATGTGCACCTATTTTTGACCAGTTATAAGTCTCATTACCAAGTGACATGAGGCGAGACTGTTGCTTAGACTACTGAGAATTTATAAAATTTTAAAACATCCCAATGTGCTGCTGGATACTGATTTTAAACTGTCAAACACCGTGAGGACACCGGTGACCGCAACCTATTGTTCTTTAATCTGTCAAACACCAAGCGGTCACCGGTGACGCGACCTATTGTTCTTTAATTGTGTCTATAAAACCGGTACTCGACGAGTTAATTGTGTCAATAATGATGGTACTCAAAGGGTTAATAATTTAAAAACTTTTCGGATAAATTGGTGGGAAAAATTAAAATATATACTCATAAAAAAATATATATTGTAATACTTACACATTTTCCACCCTAATTCTTTGGTAATCTGACAATATGGCACCAACGGCAACCGCCTCTATATCTAAATCATTCTGAAACAATTGTTATCTATCGTTAAAATGTTACAGACAACTTATCACTGCAGATTTTATTTACATTCAGATTATACTGTCAACTTAACACACTCAGATACAGTATATTTAAATATTTTTAGCACATGTTTACAATGTCAATGAAACTCATTTCAAAGTCAAGTTTTATGTGAACAATTTAATAATGAATCACTTCTGTGAATTTTACATGGTCTCCTTTTTTATATTGTTCTTTTTTATTGCCCGTGTTTGTTAGTAATCAGCATTTCTTTATTTAATTTAACTTTTCAATATGTTTTTATATTGAGCATAATTTCATTCTTAGAAATAATGCAAGAAGGCAGAAAAGTGGTAATTCAATGCTTGTATCATTTGAGGTATTATTTTAATTAATTTTCAACAATAAAACATCACAGTAAACAATTAAGTGTTTACTAGCATAATATCAGACAAATCAATTGCCACATACTGACTGGGAAAATAAATGATTGATAAGCATATCAAGTATATAATATATTATTGTTAATTATAAGTATACTTACTATACTTATTATGAAAGTAATATTATCTTTTTATTACTTAACCTACAGATAAATACAGCATTAATATGAACCCGTGATAGAGACATCAAGCATTTTCTACAAATCATTGTGAATAATCGTGTTTCAGGAAAGAATATTAACATTTTTTTTCTATACAGGAAATGCCGTAGTGTGTTTATTTTGAGCCTAAGTAGAGATCATATACAAATAGACAATGATTTCTATACTTCCTTTGTTTAATGCATGTTTATACACACTCTTAAAATATTACAAATAAACAATTATTGCCACCATTATTTTGTATTTTCTGACTGTAATAATTACCTATACAGGTCAAACTAAGGACCTTGCCTAAGTCACTTACATAATATTCCGTTACAAAGTGAACAAAAGCTTCTAATTTGAATACATTATTCACAATTGGTCATTACATACAATCATTGAATAGATCAGTCTACTCACTTCAAGTGGTAATTTAAAACCTGTTGCTTGACTACTGTCTGTGTGAATATCTTTTTATACATATACTTAGGTACACTGATATTTATGTTTTATGCCTAGTTAACATTCAAGATGGAATGTTTTGCTCATAAAGTTTTTAGTTTTTTTTTAATGGCTTACCTTAACTTTAGAAAGGAGTCTGTACAAGTCCTCAACCTCATCATTTTCTGTGGGTTGATAGTTCTTGCCCTGGTTAACAGCATTGCCAGTTATTGCTTCCCTGTATAGTGGTAGGCCCATAGCTTCTGCATACAGATCTATACCTTGGTGTCCCACTGTTTGGTACATATAGCTGTCCAGCTCATCTGAAATATTATTCCTAGATTAATAAATTATTCAGCAAAAATGAAAAATTTATTAGATAGTTTCTAATGATATGCAGTAAGTAACAATTAATTTTCACAGTTATGATGAAAGTGTAATTTATTTCCTAGCTCTGCACAGGTAAACTGATAACAATAACAATTGATGCCAATTCACAGGTAGGCTTAAAATAACTTCAGATATTTTTATTTTAAGACATATGTTACAAAACCTTAGTGACATCCTACAGGCAATTTCTATTTCCGTTTCTTGACATTTTAGAGGGTTAAGACAATTAACAAAATAAAAATACATGGTAAATATACGCGTCTAAATTCGTTAATGGGACAAAATTAACCTTTTAGTGTAGGTTGGAGGTTGGCCAGCGCTACGATCGTGTGCCCGGCGCCGACACACTGCATCATGTTGTAGCAGCTGTCCTTACCCCCGCTGATCAACGCCACCGTCCTCATCTTCCCCACAATATTATAACCACACACGATAACACTACAATACACATTACATAACGTTCACAATAATTGTGCGCCCTTTTTTGGCAAAATAAAGAACAAAACGCGGTCCTGATCACGACAGTGGCATTACTCTCAACACCTCGTTAAAGTGTACTTCTTACTATCTGTGACGCGACTTCACCACCTGTTCGTGAAGGAATTACAACGAAACATAATCGTTATCTATTTTGATAACATTCTTGAAACGCAAAGCAAAATTAAAGTGTTCATGAAACCTCGGCAACAGTATCTGTCATATTGCGTTTCGTTCTGAAATTAAATCATAAACATTATCTTTGACATAGCATTACATTTTGTTCCTTTTTTTGCATGAATATTTCAAACTTATAATAATGTCTCTAAAACCACGGCAATAAATATTATTTTCTTGCTGTATAATGTAACAATCCAGTGGATTTTTATTATCAAATACATCAGGATAAAGTCTTAATTTTTAAGTATAAACCTAAGATGGTACCTACATAATAAAAAAACTATATAAACACAATTAAACTTGGATAAACACAAATAGGTACCAGAATTTCGTTCCTTTTTTAGTTGGTTAAAAATTCCACGCCCAACAAGTAAAATTTTAATTTCCTTACCCAAAAAAGGGAATGGAATCGTTGATAAAAAGCGCCGCGCCACAGCGCTGCGTTGCGGATTTCCCCTATTTTACATGACTTCATGAGTTATAAACACCGATATGATAAATTAAATCTATGTTTTTAACTTTATAAGAGGCTTGACATTACATACACCCTGAGATATTATTATGAGGACTCGAGGAGGGAATATTCACAGGTAGGTATGGCGTCCAGTCTGTAATGATCGGATCATACCTACCTTTTGTTACCAAATCTCACAATAATATACCTACCATTAAATTCAAAAGGAAATAGGTATACTTATTGATTTATTAATGGCTAAGAACAGTTCAAATCACAAATCAAGGCATTGATCCAAATAATTTGTTATACTCGGTGATTCATTCAACGTAAACCAACTTTATAATGACTTCAAAGAAAATCAGCTTCTTCCTTGCAGTTAGGTTCGCTACACAATTGCTACAACACGCTACAACATCCGATTATCATAAATATATTAGCTACACTGACCCACTATATTTTATGATAGTGGGATGTTTTGGCATTAGGGGAAATCCGCGAAAATCATCCTAGATAATTAAAGTTCTCTCCCTATAATACGTCTGTGCTTCTTTCGCTTTGGCTGACGCGAGGGGGAGGGAAGGTGCAGACTATTACTGACTGAAAATCATCGATAATCACCCCGTTCCTGCTTCGAGCCGGAGTCCCGGTAACGCGCAAGATCGTTCGCTCTATCCCCATCAGCTTCAATAAATGGACTTTTATTCCAATACCTTGCATATCTGACTACTCAGTTTATGTAAATGCATGTTTTTTTCACTTTCTTTCAGCAATTCCGAAGATTAGCACGTTTAAACCAAAACAAAACACATACACAAAGTATTAGTAATGATTGACGGCTTAATGATTAAACAAACAAATAAACTTTTCAACCTTTTAACTCTAGTTTTTGTTATCGGCTCTTAAAATAATTTCTGGAGAAACTATAATGTTCCTTCGAATCCTAAAAATGTACCTATGCACCTATGCATTTAGCAATTGCGCCGTATATTGATAAATATTTCTAGTGTCAGTGTTTCAGGACTTTAATCGCCAAATCATAATAATATTTATTGTCAGCTGTGTCGTGGCTCATGAGGGCTCATAATATTGCAGTATCAATCTAAGTATTAGTACTAAGTTCATACACTGCATGGTCACTGGAATCATCGTTTGGTCTTCTGTTTCTTATCACATAAAATTAACCAAGACGAGGTGATGCTTAATAACGCCATCTCTTTTTATGAAAGTAAACAAATGTTTGAACTTAGTTGTAGGCGTTTTTCCATATGATAAGAAATTACAACATGAAAAGTTGTTCAATTTGCAGTTACAGTATTTAGTAGTGTATAAATGAAATAAGTTCAATTTAATGAATGAGGATAATTGCTCATAAAACTAATTAATTTAGATGCAGTGTTTCGTGTGATTACTCAAAGTCTGTACCACCAATGTTACTAGTGTAAAAAATATTCAATAAGACGTTTCAAATAGATAAATAAGTTCTACTGCATTTAATTTAATGAATTTTGCAATAAAACTATTTAATAAATAAAATTTAGGCACACCAAATATTTTGGAAGGCACTTTAATTTCCACATTATTAAAATAAAGTGAATGTTTAGTGAAGTACAGACGCCATTAAATCAACTATTACATTCTGGGGCTGGTTTGTCAGATTATTGATGCGGTGGTTTGAATCACGTTTGAATTTAAGTGCGGAGCTCTATATTTCTTTTAAAATCTTTTATTCAACCACAATACTCCATAGATGAGTTTTCGTATTGTGTGTTAATTAAGTGAAATCTGTGTTATCAAGTGTGTAATCATGGTTTTGGCTGAAAGAAGTAATGATGTTCGAAACGGGAAGCGGTCAAGGGGGCCAAGCCCCAATGGCCATGGAAGTCCAGATTCCAGTTCTGAAGATGAGAATGGTACGAAATACTCTAAATATTTTATTGCTCTATGTTGTCATGAAATAATTCTAATGGAAATTGGGGGAGCTTTTTGCATGTTGATTGGCACTTCTACTTACGAAAATATCACACGTACCTATAACAAGTACATACTTAATTGATTGATTGTAATAACCGGGTGAATAATATACCATCTTGTGTGTTTGTGTTAACATATTGTTGTGGAGGAGACATAATCATGATCATCTGACACTCGTGCTTTCTTTTTATGCTTACCATCATCATCGCCTTGCTGCTGCGTTCATCTCATCCACAATAATAATAAACACGCGACCAAGCAGTAATACCGTTTGCAGCTGAGAAGATAAGAGTTGGCAGAGATTACCAGGCAGTGTGCCCTGAACTGGAACCAGTAGAGCAACGCAGACCAGAACTTATTTCTGACAGAGCTTTATTAGTTTGGTCACCTACCTGTGACATATCTGACATCAAATGTAAGTAGAAATGTAATTAATGGATTATTTGGTTCTATAATTATCATTGCTCTAATATTAATTTTTTTTTAGTGGATGAATATATTACCACAGCAAAGGAGAAATATGGTTATAATGGAGAACAAGCATTGGGGATGTTATTTTGGCACAAACATGACCTCAACAGGGCTTCAATGGACCTTGCGAACTTCACTCCTTTTCCTGATGAGTGGACTGTGGAAGACAAGGTTCTCTTTGAACAAGCTTTCCAGTTTCATGGCAAAAGCTTTCACAGAATTAGGCAAATGGTAGGTTTGCTATGAATTAAATATCATTAATTTGATTTGATTTTAAAATAGTTTTAACAAATTGTTTCCTTTAGTTGCCAGACAAATCAATTGCATCATTAGTAAAGTACTATTATTCGTGGAAGAAAACAAGGGCTCGTACTTCGTTGATGGATGTTGTCAGTGAAGGTCGCAATGCTACCAGCTCTGGAACTGGCAAACGTGAATCGGGTGCAGCATCAGAACCAGGTGGTTCTGACAAGGATTCAGACAATGATGAGAAGGTATGTGTTGCTTGCATTTTATATTTCATTGCTTGTAACATTATTTAAGTATAATTTGCTCCTTTTTATTGTGTGCAATGTCATTGTATTACCAATGTACCTAATTACAGTAATGTCAACTGTCTCACATTCCCTCCATATTACAAGACAGTATATCTGGATTGTCCAAATTGTTACTATGTACTCTACAAACACATTATGTGTTACCTGTTTAGTAAATAAAATAGCAGAGCGGCAGAAATTATTTTATTACGACACATTTTACGGTTTTACTTTGTCATTGTGATAAACTATTTTCAATAACTATTTTGAAAATTGTGTTCACAGAGTAGATAATTGTTTTAGTAAATTATTTGCTCTGCATGTAGACCATTTCGTATTGTGTAATAGATTTAAAATATGATTCACCACAATTATAAATAAAAGTCAATCATATCAATTAGCCGGGTGCTTGGCGGTCGCATATTATTATTAGTTATGGACTTATGTTAAATGTGACAGAAGTGGACTTTCCACCGTGGTATTGTCCGAGGAGGGAAGTCCCTCGCGGCAGGCGGGGCTCCACAACGCGCCGCCGGCCAGCAGGGCGCCCAGGTGGGTGCTTTGCTTCCCCACAATGCGTATTAACTTGCTGTCACCATGGAAACTTGATGTTCAATGTCTTCTTCCATCATCTCACTTGTCTATTCAATTGGTGTTATCTCATCCATTATTTGATGTTTGGTAACTTCTACTTGAGAAACGTTGGCTCCTACTTCAGAATCCCAATTTCATGAGATGTCTTTCTTAGTCATGCCATGTCATAGTCTGCACTTCATAGCATTAATTTGTCATCATGCAAGTTTTGATTGTGGCAATGTGAGCTTGTTTATTAGTCTAGTATCTACGTAATAATGTCTATATTATTTGAACAGTGTATCAGTCAATGAGCTATAAATGTCTGCTTCAAATAACTATTCACTTGTAATTTTATAAAATATTGTACTCTACCATCACTATATTATAATTATTACCATAATATCAAAATATTATGTCAAAATGCTTTATGTATTCTGATAATGCTTGTTAATTTTAATTTTGACCGCTCTGCATTTTTATTTACAAACTATGATCGCTACTACTCTCATACATACATATACAACATTAATTTTATACATGTTATTCTATAAATATTCATGATACATGAAGTTATTACACTTATATGTATTTTATGTAATAAACACAGATTCTGTATCAAAATACATATAACATGTCTAGTAGCATTTATCAAATTGTATGTAAGTACTTGTATAGCAATGGATAAAGTTTATTTTTTCTTGCAATATTATATTTTTGGTACGGAATACGATAATATGCATTACTGAAAAAGGAGAATGTATGTTTTAAATACGCATCGATTGTAATTATTGTGTTGTGGTTGTTGATGGACCTTTAAGACAAGAATCCATTGTAATAGTGCTGTCACTGTGTACTCATTCTGTTCCCGCATTAATCAAACTTGTGTCATGTAGCCTGCCTCCTCTCTTCCTCCCAATCTCCCATGATTTTCCCGCATGCTTCCTTTAATAGCCCCGAACAAAGAAGGAACAACTCGTTTAATAAATCTAATGTGTGCAGAATATCATTTAATATTCTAATGGGTTTTAAAAGAAGTGTGTGAGAAGTCATTGTAAACGTCTTTGTCCGTCCCTACACGACTGTTGTTATATTTCGTGTAGCTGGTGGAAGTCGTACGTAATGTGACAGGAAATGTAAAATGTTAATTGGGGTTTAGGGCGAGGGCGGCGGCGAGAGTGCGGGCAAGTGGTGCACTGTGTGCGGCATTCTGTGCAACCAGATCACGGCGCACAATTCGCAGAAGTTGTGTCAGGCATGCCTCGTGCACGCCAGGTCGGTAACGAAACTACTCTACTACAGTTTTATTAGATTATCCACTCGTTGCAATCACTTGCATGTTACATACAAAGCAGCTCAATAACATTTCGAGTGTGGTTTAATTAAGTGTATTTAGGGATGGTTGTTTGAATATTGGCGGTGATGTAACAGACGCACGGGGACGATGCGACCGCTGTGCGGACCGTCCGGCAGACGCGGTCCGGGGTCCAAACAGCAGCGGTACAAGCATCGGCTGCCGCGCGGTATTTACATCAATCACGATGATCTCGTCGCCATGGCCACCGGCCCTCAGCCTGGAGATCCCCCGCAGCCTGGACTTATCAATCATGGCGAAGCTATGCTCAAAGCTATGGACAGAGAAGTTATATCTCTAAAGAGACAAGTAAGAAGCAACTCGCTACGATGTCGCTATGTAGTGTCGTTGCAACACATTCTCACCCTTACCTCGACACTGTACTTCTAAACATGTTGACATCGGTCACTCTCCAGACACAACATGGATGTGACTAAACATTTGTGTGATGTAATGTGAGAATGTGATAAATCAACTAATTTTATTACTTACTAGACAATACATTTGTAGTAGTTTATGCTAATTATACTACAATACTGTACTAGGTGGTATTGTGGGAAAAAGTATTCTGCACACATAGATTAGATGAACAACGTTTTGTTGAAGTTTTATTGAGTTGTAACATTAAAAACCCCCAGAAAATGCCGTGCTTCATTGTTTGCTGTGCGTCCAAATCCCAAGTCCTACTACGTAGTTTCTTGGATAATCCAGATATGCACTTTGTATCCTATGTTCAGAACTTCTTAGTTATGTATTTGTGATTGTTTCGAAAATATAGATGTTTATAATGATCTAAATACAGAGACTTTAAATTTTGTAATAGGTGCAACAAAACAAACAGCAACTGAGTGCGATGAAGCGCAAAGTGGGCGACACTGGTGTAGAAGAGTTAAGGCCCGGTGAACCGCCAGCGAAGATCAACTCTCGCTGGACTAATGACGAACTACTCATGGCAGTGAGGGCCGTCAGAAAGTACGGTAAGGAATCAACAATAAGTCTGTTATTTTTCCATGACGTTTTGGGTTTTTTATCACAATATTGTTTTTTCTTAAAAGTTGTATCCACATCTGACTAATATGCGTCTCTCGTCCCTCGTGTTCCCCGCTTGTGGCGTATTCACCAGATGTGGATTTACCATAACATGAATGAATTTTGTCCATGAAGTTAGAGTCACTTCATTTATATGGTTCTGTTATTGTTATGCAGGGAGAGACTTCCAAGCTATCGCCGAAACACTGGGCACGAAGACTGAGGCGCACGTCCGTTCTTTCTTCATTTCTTATCGCCGTCGATACAACCTGGACGCCATGGTGCGCGAACATGAAGCAGAACGTGGTAACGCCCATCATATACAAGCCGGTTTGTACGCTTCAATGTTCATTTCTTATGAACAAGTAGCTTCAGTACAAAAATGGTCAATAAGATTGAGATTATTCGAGACAATGTCATAAGTTCATAACACAAGTAAATAAATTGCAGGTACCACAAGCACAGAATCTGCTGAGACAGGCGACAACACTAACAATGGCACAGACTCTTCTCAGACTACGAACAAGGATGAAAAAGTGAGTTATTTTATGTTCTAGAAAATAAAAATTTTAATTACAAATGTTGTAAGTAAAATGTCAATTCATGACATGTCTTGTTTAAAGATGGAGGTAGACAGTGAAGGCGTCGCTATAGGAGCGTCCGCGGAGGCAGGCGGTCCCCCGACGACCCCGCCCAAGCACAAGCCCGCCAAGTGATGCGGCGGCGCGCCCGCGCGACACACTCGCGCCTCGCGGCCGCCGCACGCCGCGACCTAGTGTCGAACGCGCCTCAAACTTTTGGGTATCGCACCCTATTCCATGAAATCATAACGTGGCGGGATACACCGATTACTATTATATAAGACAAAAGTAGGTTTCGTTTATTATATCTATCGAGTAAGAAAACGAGTACGTCTCCTTCACACGCTGTATATTAAAGTGCTGTCTTCTGTATTCAATCTAAAACACCGACAGACGTAATTGCACAACTCGTAACTATGTAACCTATTTTAATGGTGCAGAATATTATTATCAACTAGACGTACTAATCATAATGTCTGGTTGATTATAAACCTTGAAATTCTGATGGCATAGATCAGAAATAATGTTTGTATACGCTTTAGGGAAGCATCGGACTTGTGTATATAAATTATAATGTATGCTAATAGGTTAGTTTCCAGATTAGGGAGCTTGTGTAAAGAATGTAATCGTAAGTGTGTTCCTGTCTCTGGTTTCTCTATGAGGTACACAGAAGAGCTGTGCTCTTTCAATGAGCTGTTGTGCTTTGTCCAATATTTCTTCAGAGTTCTCAAGTGTGATAGTTTATAGATTTATATTATGGGATAACACATTAATCACTTGCCTTATGTAATAAGTTTGTCTCATGTACTCGCATGTTTACTAAATATGGCTTAAGTATCACAGGAGATATAATTATTCGAATCTTAACTAGGCCCTTCTGTGGTGTTTATTCTTAGGCTAAGAAGTCACAGTGCTGCTATTACCCCTTCTGCCGCGGTTACAGGAACAGTCCTGTCCAACTCGTGTAACTAGGAATGGAAAATTTAGTGCTTACCAAATGTTACTAAGATCAATTAAAGATGAGCATCTATGGTTCCTTCCCTCGGGTCGATTATCCCATCAGCGACACTTTTTACGAATTTGGTGACCTTGTTTGGAAGCTTTCCCTTCAAGGATGTTAACAGGACACGCCACTGCCGGATGGTTATTGATTCTGACTTGGCATTCCGAGCAATTCTATGAGATACCCATATGATAACAGAGCAGCGCAGTCCCAGAACCTGGAGCCAGTTGTGCTAACGCTCAAGTTGGCATATTGGTGGTATGGAAACTTATTAAAATACATGTTGTATATCGCAACCAGAGTATTATAGCCGCTGTCATTCGGCCAGCATGAGTAGATATCAACAATGTCTGACCTTTCTGCCGTCTTATCAGAGATTGCTTTAAGCTGTATAGTATAAGTGATCTTCCCGGCAAGGGTGGTTCGATATGTGTTTAGACCGGTCCGGACCAGTCTGTATATGCCCAAGACGTAACCTGCCATCCACCCGTAGTCCCTCGGTGTAACATTGGTCCTATTTGCCTCAATGTAAGAAGTCTGAACATTGCACTTAACTAGGTCGAGAGGTGTTATCTCGTCTAAATCGTAATCGGGGAAATAGAAGACTATTTCCCCGATTTTTTGTCCTTAGGAGCCAGTTGACCAGTTGTCTTCCAATTTATATTTGATCTCATTGGCGAAGTAATATAGGAAAGTTTTCGCTATATCTAGTCCTATGTCATTGTCCTTGATTCCCTTTAATAAGATGGCAGCAGCTGTGGCCAAGTCCGGTGCAGTTAAAGTTATGTTCAAAGTAGGCTTTGATTGGTTTGCAGTGAACCATTCTTGGGCATACTGAACCTAGCAGAGAGGATGGAGCTTTGAGTATGATAGTTTTATTAGTTGAAATCCTGACTCCTTCGAAGACTCCATTTTCATTGATTTCTGTTCCTGTGTAAAATGTGATATTGAAAATGTGATGTTAGAGTCATGAGTAACCACCCTTATATTTTTCCCTCACTTCTTGAAATAAGTAAGGACTACAGTTGAGGTTTCGTGAGATTTCAAGTTAATCAGATATCCACGCGCGGCCAGCGCGGTTATAGACAGCTCTGTGACTTCTTAGCCTAGTAGTTTTCTATATAAATGATTCTAAGAGATAATAGTAGCTAGATATTTTTATGTAAGACTTATTATTTTAACGATAAGGATACTATCAATTTGGAATGTTAAGTCCAGCCGTAGTTTTAGGTAACAAGCGAAGAATGTTTTAGTGGTTACGCAAATTTCTATTATGGATACTCATATTATAGGTAAAATGGCATTTATAGTCGCGAAAATATAAAACTCCAAACTAAAGCCATTGACAAACCGCTTGGTTCAATAAAGCAATATATCGAATAATACAATATTTCTTATGCACATGTAGAATAGCTATTTTATTATACATTTTAATTATATAAATTTTCCATACATTTAAATAGAGCGATATAGAGAATTGACGATATTTTTGTACTAGTAAATGACCTCCCGATGATTAGGAAATTTTGGTGTGATTATTTAATATTTTTTAATGAATGGTATTAACTTTAATTTTGTATTTTTATTTAGTGTTATGGAGTAACGCGTTTATAGCATAATTTACGGTATAATTTTAAATAATAATTATAATATGTACATCACAAATGGGATGAGCTATTCGCACCGGTTGCCACGAAACCGAAGATGAATCGTTACCGATATATCATTGTTCTTATTCATTGTGACTACTTGGCTGTACATAATTATGTAGTATTATTTACGAATAAACTTCAGACGGTGCACTCGGTACTGAAATTATGTTATACTAAACTGAGGTGAAGTTTTCCACAATTCATTTCATTAAATTCAACGTCCGCCTACAATTGACGTAAGCAATATTTTTTAATTCAATTATTTAATCTAATAATATCGATGATGGAAAATATTAACTGATTACAGATAAGTCTGTAACGATTTTATTGTTTGGGATATGGGTTTATAATAATTTGTGTAAATATTATGTTCCTCAATGTTGATATAATTTGTACCTAATTTGTGGTCAGACAAAACTGGTTTACTAGATTTAGTTTGAAATCTTTAGCTTATGAACGGCGTAAAACCTTAATCACTCCAAAGAGATATCCACAAAATGAAGTCATCTTATTTATTGACGCTAATTAGGGCTAGTAAGAAGATTGTTACTGAATTAAATTATTTTTATTAGGATTATTGTTTTCTGTATATTAAGAACTTAAATCAATTGACAAAGTTTTTTTATTATTAATAAGTAATGCTCAAACTTATTTGTTTTGTCCCATCACTTGACCGTGGTCTCCACAAATTATTTAGTAGCTAAAACCGAAGTTGAGGGAGTTTTGATTTTAAGAATAATAATAAATAATAAGTATGTATTAATTTGAGCCTTTTATTTTAATGTTTTGTTCATGTCTCCTTCTCCAAAGTGTTGGTCTAATGATTTCTACAATGCTGGCCTGATAGAAGTTGTTCATTTTCGACCCTATATTGACGACTAAAACAAAAATTTATGTGCTTTGCAATCACACAATTTTTATTTTAAGGGATCAAACGAGTAGTCTGGTTTTCTAATAGAAATCTATGTGCGCTTTATAAGGACACCGTAACTCACGAAGCATTGCAAGTGCACTGTCAACTTTATGAATTGAACCTCCGATAAAGTTACCATAAAGTTGCTCAGACGGTGAAAGTGTTGTATCCATGCTGGTTTTATGCGAGGCTGTATGATATTATATCTATGGGCTGTGGCCTCTTCACAACGTCTTCGGGCTGTGATATCTATGGCATCGGGGTTGTGGTATCACTCCACTATCTCGTGGAGGTTGATGCGAAAAGATCTAATGCAAGAAATTACGAAACAGAAAAAGATCATAGGTTATCTGTTTCATGCATAAACGCATAAAACTTCTTTTTTATGCCAACTGTCAGCTATGATAGAAAGTTTGTGAAAAACTTAATTCTAAAAGCACATTATTTTTTGGGTGTATTCATAAGAAGCGTACTTGTGAATATTGTGTAATTTAGGTTTATATTTGAAAAGACCAGATGGTTTTTACGTTAGTCCCTCGCGCTGTGAAAATACCGCTTGTTGGAATTGTGAGGTTGGCTAATATTGACGATGCTCCTCATGTTTTGGAACTACTCGGGGACTCGATATCCAAAACCTTCAGGGTCTATTGCACCAACGATATTATAAATCTCATGTAGGAATATTTTTTATACATAAGCTACCTACTTACCTGTTTATTATTATATTAACACATTCTGTCTCTTAATTACATGATTACTACATGTAAATATGTAGACTAGTTATATACCTACATTGCCAACATTTTTGTGTCTTTGTATCTAATTATCTATATAGATCATAACGGTCGAATGCTCACAAACGTGACTGCCAAGTGAAGGGTCGTAGGTTCGAATCCTAGGTCGAGTAAACATTTTTTTGATTTTCAATCAATCAAGAATTGTCTTGTCAAGAAACACAGAGTAGTAGGAAGCCCGTTTTAGAGAGAGTCCATTTACCCAATTGGTGAAAAGAACATTTATCACCTCTGCTTACTTTGTATTTGTGAAACAAAAGGTGTGACGATATACTGTTTATTTTCTACTACTATATTTCATTTATATTTCAGTGAGAATTCTGTACTAGCTGTATGCCAACAAGATCTAAATAACGCAGTTGTTGGCTTTTTAGCTCTTAGAGATTATCCGTTATTACCTGCAATACATTCGGGAGCATGGGAGGAGTACGTGTGGGCCAAATACAAGTACGTACACATATCTATATAGGTACTTCATTTTAAAAACTAAAGCTACCGCATTTTTCCCCAACGCGCCTGCCAAACATGCGAGAATACCTACGGCTGTCTCTCATAGAGAGAAGGCTTTCAATTCAACTGTCCAGCAGTGCACTTTGACCTACTATCTATCACAATACAAGTTCTAACTTACGCTCTGAGTGCTTCAATAAACGTTTACGGCTTAGAAATAGCGAAGATGCAAAATAGATGTTCATTATTGAATATATCTTTTGCGTAAAAAGCTGATTTTTCTGAAAACCGCATCGAAAAAGGTTTAGCCAATCGCGAGATAA